TTTTCAAACTCTGCCAGAAATTAGAGTTTTATATACCAAACAATCGTACCAAAGGAAATTTTTATACACTAATTAGGGGGCACATAATGGGCCGAAATAGATTTTGTTAATTAACCGGAAGGAAGTTCTTTAAGCTATGTATTCGTGGAAGCCATGTGTGAGTCGTGGTGCGGTTGATAGCGCCATGGGTAAAGAAGTTTGAAGACTCGGTGGTCAGGGGTTCGGTCCTGGTCACGGGTTAATTTTTAATTTTTTTCTTCTATTTACTTTTTTTATTTTTTGAAAATTTATTTTTCGATATTTCAGCGTGAATAAAGTGTTATATATATAAAAATAACTATCTTTCTTTGGGAAAGAGGGAATAATAACTGAAAAACGGATACATTTTAACTCCGGAGCTACGCACATGACTCACTCCGTAACTCCCTTTAATATTAACTTATAATTTTCAAAACTTTGCTAGAAATTAAAGTTTTATATACCAAACAATCGTACCGAAGGAAATTTTTATACACTAATTAGGGGGCACATAGTGGGTCAAAATAGATTTTTTTTAATTAACCGGAAGGAAGTTCTTTAAGCTATGTATTCGTGGAAGCCATGTGTGAGTCGTGGTTCTGTTCATAGCGCCATGGGTAAAGAAGTTTGTAGACTCGGTGGTCAGAGGTTCGGTCCTGGTCACGGGTTAATTTTTAATTTTTTTTTTCCATTTACTTTTATTTTATTTTTTAAAATTTATTTTTCGATATTTCAACGTGAATAAAGTGTTATATATATAAAAATAATTATTTTTCGTTGGGAAAGAGGGAATAATAGCTGAAAAACGGATAAGTTTCGACTCCGGAGCTATGCACACGACTCACTCCGTAACTCCCTTTAATGTTAACTTATTATTTTCAAACTCTGCCAGAAATTAGAGTTTTATATACCAAACAATCGTAATAAAGGAAATTTTTATACACTAATTAGGGGGCACATAGTGGGCCAAAATAGATTTTGTTAATTAACGGGAAGGAAGTTCTTTAAGCTATATATTCGTGGAAGCAACGTGTGAGTCGTGGTGTGGTTGCTAGCTCCATGGGTAAAGAAGTTTGTTGAATCGGTGATCAGGGGTTCGGTCCTGGTCAAGGAGTAATTTTTTTTTTCTATTTACTTTATTTTTCTTTTTAAAATTTATTTTTCGAAATTGCAACGTGAATAAAATGTTATATATATAAACCCTTCTCTAAAATTCATTCTAGGATCTTGTAATCTGAGCTGCACACGATCAATCCTCCTTAAGATTTCATATTAGAAATGAACTAAAGTTATGAAACTAAAAGTTAGTACATTTTAAAACAGAATTGTAGCTTCACTTCTAATGTCACTTGTAGTGGTAGTATCCTTTGCTAATTTTTCTAATAGTTCTACTATATTCTCTAGCCCATAGGTTCCCAAAGTGGTCCAGGTGGACCCCCAGGGGTCCATAGGAGACCACACGGGGGTCCATGTAGACGTGAAAAAAAATAGGGGCTCACAAGTTGTAAGTGGGGGTCCACGAAAAATTTTCTGGTTTTCATAATAAAGAACAAAAATTTCGGCTTGATTTCATGTATCAACTTAGGCAGGTAGCATCATTCACTAGGTAGGTACTCAAAAATATTCGAGACTCATTTCAAACGCAGAATTGAATAGAACAATAGATAATAGTACAAGAGTACATCACATGTTGAGACTTGCAAAGTGCTGCCCGTGAGCCTGCTCGCATTTAAATACCCTGCATGATGACTTCAAAAATAGATTTGATGATATTCTGACAATGGAAATAACACCATGGATCATAACCCCATTTGATGAAACGGAAGAAGCTAATGTGGTATTACAAGAGGAGCTACTTGAGCTCAGCACCAACGAGGAACTGAAGGTGAAATTTAGAAAGGGCTATCAAACATTTTGACTGCAGGCAGAAATCCCCGAAAAATATCCTGGACTGTGGGAAATTGCAAGAAAATTTCTGATAGCGTTTCCCTCGTCATATCTTGTCGAAAGAAGTTTTAGTTCCATTACCAACCTGCTAACAAAAAAAAAGGAGCAGATTGAACATCACAGAACGGGGACATTTGAGATTACTTCTTACAAAACTGAAGCCAAATATTGATAATTTGCTGTCAATTCATCAAGTTCATCCGTCTTATTAAAATTATGACTTTTTTTATTGTTGATCTACATTTCAGAGTTCATTTTTGATATTTTGTCAATTGTTTGTAATAATAAATAGGACACAAGAAAATGTGCTACTTCCTAACACCCCCAATTTAGGGTGATATTTTTAGGAATTTTGGGAATACAGTAGAAATGTAGCAGCAAGGGGTCTACCGAAAATAGTAAAACTGAAAGTGGTCCACGAGAAAAAAAAGTTTGTAAACCTCTGCTCTAGCCCATTGATGATAACGCTAACCGCTTGTATTCTACCGCTCCATTGTGTTTCAGATTCACGTTTGACAGTTTCTGTTAAAGCATTTTTTAATAATTCCCATCGTAACGTTGAGCGTGAGAAAAACAGATATATGCTTTCTGTGGTCTGCAGTTTGTTAAAGAAATTTCATCGAAAATTTAATTATTCTATAATTGTATTTTTGATCGAGGCTGCATCTTTAGCATGTATTTCAATAAACCCCCACCCTAAAAAAAAAAAGATTTTTTGATGGAAACTTTTTTATTCATACAATCAACATCTACATACCTAACGACTTGGGGCATTTGTTCTCGATGAGAGATATCAGGAGTTGAATCAAACTAAAGTCCATAATATTTATTTCTTTTGATATCTTTTATTAGTTGATTTCGAACTGTAGATGCCAGAAGATGAATGAATTCATTTTGGATCTGTGTTGACAAATATGAGACAGTTTTTGGAGTTTCTGTGGCATGTTAAAGATGATTTGCTAGTAGCGAATCAAACTGAGCTACAAGTTTAAGTAAAGATAATAGGTTTCCAACTTTTGTACCAACTTGAAGTGCTAGTTTTTTAACATGGCTTCATTATTTGTTTTATTACTTACCAAGAATGCCTTGAATGCACGAAATAACTTAAACGTTAATATTTCGAGTATTTCCCTAATTTGTTGCAGACTTCCACTACCTGTCGAAAGTATCAAAGATACGTACAGTCACGGAAAAAAGTATCCGGAAGGTAACAAATAAGGAATCATTTATTTTTTTAATACAGATATTTCTCAGGCACACAACAAATACGGCGTTTGCGTCCTTTCCTAGAAACGGCAAAACGCTGTATTTGTTGTGTGTCTCCTTTCGATCCTTTAGTTGTTATTTTCCGTGTCCATATAAGTACATTAGACTGTACATATAAGTACATTAGAGTGCTATTGTTATCGTTTTAACAAGCGTAAGCTACATTGCGTTTATGGAAATAAAAATAAATATTGTTCTAAAGGAAAGAATGTTTGTACTTTGTAAACTTCAACTATTTTTTATAACATATTGTTTCATCAGACAAATCAAGAAAGGAGATAATTTCTGTAACCATACAGCGTTGATGCCATAAGGAAGTGCTGTCGGACACAGGTCGAGTCAGCCCTGCCAGTAGACAAGACGTGCCATTTCTATTATGAATATATTATTACACTTTGAATTAGACTATTAGTGTTCCTTTTTATTTATGAATTAACATTAATTATATTACACTGGCACTAAAATTAAAATATGTTTTCCAGAAACCAATTATAATAAAAATAAAAATTATCCAGCAATTTTTTGTTTTGCGGACCATTTGGCGCCCCTTTGTGAGTAGCGCCCGGGGCATGATGACCCCCCTTGCCCACCCCTCACTACGCCACTGTTAGGCACCTCTTTTTGCAATTTTAGTCGCCCGTGGCAACCCCTGCCTTACCATTCAGCTCGGTGAACTAAAGGAATTATCTATATGCAATGCAGTTTTTATATACACATTACATAAACAAATGTAATGAATTTTTTTTAATAATTATTTAATGAATTTGCAATAACATTGGAAGTCGAGGAAACTAAAGTAACAGAAGGAAAAGGTATTTTTACACATTGTTCTTATTATTTTCTATGCAGGTCACATGACTCACACTCTCTTAGATGACTTTTCAAGTCGTTAAAAAGTAACGGAAGACTGATTAAATTGAAAAACTGATATCTTAATAAAAAGTCTTGAAAAATGCATAAGATGATTATTTTGTTGCAAATATTAATCGGTTTATCATTTGTGTAGATTATGCAAGTTAATTTATTTGCAAAAAAAAAAAAAAAAGAGGAACTGTCAACTCACAAAAATACTGTGTAAGCACTTTGCCTAACAGCAAATTTCAATTGAAAATTCTAGCCAGACAGTACTTTTTAAGTGAAAGGACATACTTTAGTTTGCTATTCAAAGAATAGTGGTTGAAATTTCTTAAAAGGCAATTAGTTTTGCATTTTTAGTGACTTGTAACATTTGATAAATTAGAGTTGTTAGTCTGGCTACACTGCGCCGGAGAGATTTAAAAATTGCTTACAAATTTTAGCTGCTACATATACATATAAATTTTTTTTCTTCGAAATAGCACAACTGTAAAGATCGAAACATACTCCTAATACTTCGAAATACCCAAACTTTTGTACTTGAGTTACGTGAAATTTGTTCAGAATTAAAAAGTAGTAATGCAATTACATGTAAACCAAGCGAACCTTCCTTTAGTAACAACTTTAGAAAAAGCTTTTTAATAATTTTGAAAGCATGTATGATATGGTGGATAAAAATGTTTGCAAAGATAAATATGAATACGGCATTAATGAATTAACCCTTTTAGATAGCTTGTTAGCTCTCCCTGGCTTGTTAGCTCTCCCGATTTTATGCATATATTTTTTTCTGACGCTTTAATTACAAGCAAAACTATATTTTGGTAGTTTTTAATTGTAAAAAACCATTCTTATTCCGGGCGCATCCTACTAGTATAGCTTTATTTTCAAAATTATAAAACCATTAATAAAGAAAATGACAAGAAATACAAATATTTATTTCCTTTTATGATAAATGGCAATATGTACAGTTGTATTAAAAAGAGGAGGTTTTAAAATGCATATCTTGTTCTAATTTCTTCCAACTTTTTCGACACCTGCAAGAAAGAAAGGCATTATAATACAGATTTTGATTTACCTAAGACTTACAGCAGGATTATAGAACAGTATAAATACTCTATTTCTATGACTAAACATAATAATCATAGTTTAAAGTTTTTCTTTTTTCAAGAGATGATTAAATGAACAGTAGAATCAATTTGAATAGAATATATTAAAACATCACTAGTCAATTGATTCCTACTTGTAAATAAATGTTAATTAACTTTGCTAAGACAGGTACAGGGTATCTGCTACATTTTAAATTTTCGAATTCATGACTAATTCCTAGAATTTTTCATGACTTAACGAAGTTACTACTTTTTCCGACAAATACGCAACGATCAATTTAAAAANATATATTAATTATAATTACATATATATTGATTATACTTTGCATATTCATATTTCAAGATATTAAATTTTAAAAAAACAGAGTGACGAAAGAGTTGAAGCAATAACATAGCTGAAAAAAATACAGAAGCAAAAAAAAAAATTTTTTTTTGCAGAATTATATTCTAAAGATACTTTTCTTGTTCATCAGAAAGGAAAGAAATACTCCTGATTTTTTTGTTCTCATTTCAGAATTAAAAAAAATCGCCAATGACTGGCTTGCCTTCAGCTAGAATTTTAAATTGATAAAATAAAAAAATTAAAATAATAACAAAAATTCTGAAATCACAGAAATTTAAAAGATAACTCACTCTAGAAATGATGTTTTTTCTTTCATTTTTTTGAAAGAACACCTTAACTTTTAAAGAACATGATAAAAACATTTTGTATTTTAATAAAATATGACTGTGAATGGGGATTTCATTACAAATTCAGATATTCAGAACACCAAGAAATGGAGAAACACCATTCTAAAATTTAGATTTTTCAGCGGCCAAAATCCATGACTTTCCATGATTTTTTTAAAAAAATAGTTAAAATCATGACATTTCATGACAAATTTTGTTCAATACCGAAATTCACGACTTTCCAGGTGCGTGGATACCTTGCAGGTAATTCCATAGCTGCCAACCTTAGGAATAAAAAATTAGTAACACTATATGCGACAAAATCATACGCACCAATTACGAGATTAAAACAAAAATATAACTATTATATAATAACATTAATAGAAATATCATTAAATACCTTACGCAAATTAGCAAAACAAAACTATAAACACTATCTTTTGTGGGAGGTTTATGATATCAATGTTATAATAAGCAATACCAGTATAAAAACAACCTTTACCTATTAATATATAATTATTCTTCCCCAAATTATAAAACACAGGTAAATAATAATCTGCATCATAAACAAATATTTCTGATGCAAGGTCTTTTGTAGTGTTTTAATACTCCAATAAATTTTTTAAAAAACAATAATAGTAGTTTAAGATTTAATTTAGTGACATGATCAGCAGCACTATTGGAATAGTGTTTTCCAATAAAAAGCTACTAAAAATTACTTCGGCACCATGATCATAGAAAGCGCGCTAGCGACGATCAGAACAAGGGATTGGTTTAAAAGCAAAAATACTGCAATTTTACGAAAATTCGGAACTAATCCGAAAAATTCGGAACAGTTGGCAGCTATGTAATTCCTCTAAAGTAATTTCTGCTATATAGGCTGCACCCTATGTGCAGTCTATGCAAATAATTTATTTTGAACATAAGTAGCTGATTTGGCTTTATAGTTCTGTTCATAAAAGTTAGAGAAATTACATTAGTCTCAAAGTGTCAGGACAAAATTCATTTCATCAGTGCTATGCGGAATGAATAGAATCCCTAACGTAACATTTCATTTTATTTTATAACTGTCGTTGAACAGCCAAACCAATTTATTGGGTTTACGACTACTAACGTTCAACTCTATAGTCTTGTAATTTTGAACCTAATCCAGAAGACATTGGAACTCCTGGATCAAGTATTGGGATGAATTTGCCTTTGTGGAGGACGTTTTAATGGAACTAACGCGCAGTTGCATTACAAGGAGAGGAAAACCTCCCACAGTTAGCCTGGCGGCAAGAAGACTCTAACCCATGTTCCATCTACCACTGAGGATATTTTTAAGTCAGTGCAGGCTGGATGCGAGATTCGTATCTGCCAGCCATTGCTGGGATTCGAGCCCGGTTCACCTCCTTGGAAAGCGAAAAGCTCTATTATAACATTTGTATACAGTTCATTTACTGGTTGTCCAAATGACACCTACAATGAATCTATTTTCTTTTCTAGTTGATATTTTCTGTTACTTGGAGCATTCAGATTGTAATATTTCAATTTCCTCATCTTCTTAGTTACACAGGAAATTTATCAAGAAAGTATCTGAAGAATTTTCAATATTCTTAAAATTGCATTATTAAAATATGTTATATCATCCATAAAAGGGATAACATGTAATCACGTATTTTTACATAAAACATTGTGTTTTCTTTTTCACTGTAAATTCATTAATCATTGTCAAATATGTTATATCATTCATAAAAGGGATAACATGCAATCACATATTTTTACGTAAAACATTGTGTTTTCTCTTCCACTGTAAATTCATTGATCATTGTCAAATATGTTATATCATTCATAAAAGGGATAACATGCAATCACGTATTTTTACGTAAAACATTGTGTTTTCTTTTCCACTGTAAATTCGTTAATTATTGACAAAAAAGTTGTGAATTGTATTGTTTATGCAGCAGCAAACAAATTAAGATGTTTCACCATCGCCAAATGTTGTTCCCACCATGAGTGATGATAAAACCGGGACATCAGCAGGGGTAGCAGCAAAGTTTTTTAAAATTTTAGGAACTTTTTCAAAAAATTTTAGGTACATTTTAGGGGTAATATATGATTTTGCTAGGATAAAAACACATCACATGGTAGTTTATTACATAACAGAAGATTATTACAATTCCTCCACACACATCATAAATAATTGCAAGCCATAAAATAAAGCTCTGAAATTTATTAAGTCAAGAATGAAATCTCTAAAGTGTAAAAATGAAATTTCAACTTTACATATTACCTATCAGAAATTAAGTGCATAATTCAGGAACAGGCAAAAGTGAGAATAAATCAAGAGAAAAAATAAATTAACACCAACTTGGATTTTTATTTAATTTTTACCTTCTTAATCAAAACTTTATTATTACCCTTTACCTTACTTTATTAAGAAAAACTATTGTGTGATATTATTAGATTTCAAATCAGCAATTTATATTAGAAGTTAGAGAAAAACAAATTAATCATGATCATTTTTCTAATATATTCTTGATATGATTTGTGAGATTCTTTTACTGCCCTCAATAGTGTTGTGGTGATCTTCAACACTCCTCCATAATTTCGAATGGTATCTTTGATTAGTCTAAGAGACATAATAGTATTCTCATGGTGACTCACATTAAGCATTGCTTTATTTATCGAAAAACCTCTCTCAGGATCAGAATTCCCATGTGGCAAAATTAAAACAGTTTTAATTAATGTAGTTAAATTCTTATATTTTAGATTATTGCTTTTTTATTTATATTTAGCCTATAACTCTAATTTTTTAGGAACACCAACAAAATTTTATCAGATTTTTAGGAATTTTAGGGTTAGCACATAGTTTTAGGAATTTTATGAATTTTAGGGGGAATGCGACCCCTGCATCAGTCAAAATTTTCAGAAAATAGGAGGATTTAAAAAAAACAGGAGTGTTGAAAAACAAATAAAAAATATAATATTAATTTAAATTATAAAAAATATCTACTTCCCTACATAGCTAATATAAAATGTTAAAAACACTCTAAAGGAAGACAATAAAATATAAATAGATTTCTTACTTCACTTGGGTTCTTGTCAAAGTCATGGGCAATACTCTTCTGTTTTGCAGGATCCAAAGAATTAAATTGTTCACACAGGTCACCATCAATTACATTCTGTAAACACATTCATAAAATATATTCTTATTTATAAGCATTGCACAGAAATCAATATAATGCGATAGAACTTATCATGATTGAAATGCTAATTGCATAGCTGCCAACCTTAGGAGTAAAAAATTAGGAACACTATACGCGACAAAATTATACGCACCAATTACGAGAGTAAGACAAACATTTAACTATTGAATAACAACACTAATGGACATAATATATTTAAATACCTTATGTAAATTAGTAAAACAAAATTGTAAACACTATCTTTTGTGGGTAATTTACAATATTAATATTTTATAATTAGGAATACCGGTATAATAGTTAACAAAAAAAAATCAGTACCTATTAATACATAATTATTTTTCTCCAAATTATAAAACACAGATAAACATTAAACTACATCATAAACAAATATTTCTGATTCAAATGTTTAAATACTACAAAACATTTTTAAAAAATAATAGTTGTTTAAGATTCAATTTAGTGAAATGATCAGCAACAGCTATTGGAATAGTATTTTCCAATAAAACGCTATTAAAAATTACTTCTGCACAATAATCACAGGAACCGCGATTGCGGCGATCAGAACAAGGGATTGGTTTAAAAGCAAAAAATACTGCAATTTTACGAAAATTCGGATTTTTTAATAAAAATATCAGATTTGGTTTAAAAATTAGGAACAAATCCGAAAAATTCTGGACAGTTGGCAGCTACTTAATTGTATTTTAAATTTATTGCATTCAGTCTAAATTTCGCTTAAAAAAATGCTTTACTTAGTCCTTTTTATTTTTATTTAAGAAAACAGGCACAGATTTGTTCAGAAGACATAGATACACAATGTAACGTCCCTTTTCCGGAAGGGTCGATTCCCGGACACTTTTTAACAATCAAAATAAACAAACACCTCTTCATCTTCCCCTCTCTTAAAAAAAAAAGAGGTATTTTGACACTTTTTTCCTTTTCTAGCTTCTAGTGATTTATGCATTGAACCCATAAATAACTGAATCCCTTCTCTCCTATGCAGCAGCTGGCTAGAAAAAGAGGCATTTCCTTTTTATTAGAGTGTTAGGGAAAGAAGAAATACTGTGAAAAAGGGTAAACGCAACAAACATTAAAGCGGAGGGGGAGTCACTTTCAGTCACACAAGAAAAAAATTGAGAACCCAATCAGCATGCCGCGCCTTTATGCTTGATGGATAGCCAATGATAGGAGAGAAAATAAGAAATTGTCACTTCCCCGCCCTCAACTTGAATGACAAATAAGGAAGAAATTAATTTTTCTCCTACACCTACCCACCTTAATGAATGATGGGAATTTCCCCTTCTTGCTTGAATCGTTCTAGTTCAAAATGGCGGATAGAGCAATTAATATGTCAACAATTTTTTGTTCGTTTTTTTATATTTAAAGCAGTAATTATTTTCTTTCTAATATTTTGTTTTCGATTGATTAGATATCATTCTAATACTAAAACATGATTGCCCGAAAATTGTTTATTTATTTTTTGCTGATTAGATTCAGATCGTTTAAAGCTTTGTTTACCTTGGGGGTCTATCATACCTAAAAATTTAATATTCGGAATTCTAGAAGTCCGAATATTTGATCCGGATACGAAACTTTCCACTGTATATCTAAAAATTAGAAAGCATGATAGAAAAATTTAGATGCTTGTTTAAATATTTATGTATAACAGTCTGAATACATTAATATATAATAAAATAAAAAAGTGCATTCTTTAATCAATTTAGATTACTTTGTCAACTAATGGCTGCAGCAAAATATTCATTTTTTTTAGAGGAGTGTTTTAAAATATAGGAGGTACTTTCTGTGTATCTTGCTTAAAATAACAGAGGTACCTTTTGATATTTTAAATTATGGGAGATTTGAGATTTTAAATTACATCTTCCACATGCAAATGATGGGGCATATTTAATTCATTTAGTAACTCTCTGTTATAAAACTGCAAAGATTGTAAATTTATTTGTTAATTAAATTATTTCTATCTTCAGCTTCAAATATTTGTTAAGAATAAGCTTTTAGTTCTTGTTGACACTAATCATTTATTATAAGAGACTTTGCGAATATGCATTCTTGTTGCATTTGCTTAAGTCGCTGGAGTAAAAATGGCACCCATTACAATTCAGTTCTACTTTCGAATTTGATTAGTTTGTTTGATATGTTTACACGAGTTTGTTTTATCAAAATATAAAGAAAATTTGAAATAAAAAATGCCTTTTTTGAGAAAAACTGTTTCTTTCAGTATTTTTTTTTTAAAGTAATATTGTGGACCTTTTACTAATTTAACTCCAGAAAGTGCGGGGCCCTAGGCCTATGCCTAGGCAATGATCGTCCCTGATTTTAAAACCAGTATTAGCTACAAAAAAATTGGCATCGCAAGAATCTGACTTTCTAAGGGACAATTTGTAAAACTAATTAGCAGGGGTCTGTCCAGATACTTTGTGAATATAAAATAAACGTTAGGTCACATTCTTTCAACCAGGGTCCTGCTTTTGTGAATGTGTGCAAAGAGGGACCTGTTATTGCAAAAAACTTTTTCAAAGAGTTTTTAAATTGTTAAATAGATACAAGATTATGCTCAATGCTGTAAAATTATAATTAAAAAATTACATTTTCAAAAATAAACAGCAATTGCTGCTTCTATTTTAGAGATGCAACCTACAAATATTTGATATTTAGCCTATACTGATGAACGCAGAATATTCACTTCGGAGGAATAAAGAAAGAAGCGTCTGCTGAAGACATAAATTAGTTCATTTACATTTGTCTTTCCTTTTTCTTCCCCCCGGTAAGGGTTTATTCGATTAACCAAACAATAATGAAGACAAATAAATTTGCGAAGGGTCCAATTAAAAGATAAATTATTTCGTGAAGGATTTGTTTTTAAGTTAAAATATTTTGTGAAGGCTCCGTTTTTATGAGAAGATATTTTGTGAAGGGTCCATTAACGGACCCAAATTTCTTCTAAACAAACCCCTGATTAGATTCAAAAACTTCTTCTAAGGAGTGCAAGGACCCTGAAAGGTATGGCGGAATCACTATGCTCTGAGAATATAGTCCTAAGGGTAGAGGTTGGACAATGTGTATTTGAGACACCCTATGAAGAGACTTACTTTTACTGCATAGTAGTAGGAACGGAAAGAAAGGTGATCCCTTCCACAGAGAGGGGGATTCTCAGACCTCATGTGCATCTCCAAATGTTGAAAGAAATCATGATCCTGAAACACAAATCAAGCATTGTAGTTCACTCATTTTTAAAATGCACACATTTTTTTGAAAGATAAGATAATTCTCACTCTACTCTCAAGAAAAAAAGTATCACTCTCAAGATCCACGGTTATCCAGAGCACTGTGGGTGACTACAGTAATGAGGTCTTTAAAACAGTGCCATACTTTAACCTTATAACCATAGTAACAGAAAATGCTCAGGCAAAGAGAGTTCTCTAGTCAGACAGACAGTAGTGGATCTTAAGAACGAATGGCTCGTTTCGAGAAATCCGCTGGTTTTCCCCGCCATGACTTTTGAAGCGTGTCTATTGACGGCTTCCGGGATTTCATTTCATAAAGTGAAATAACTCGTAACATGATCATATGATGAAAATATAGTGTCATAAAAAATATGAGGAATCTTCCTCTTTGTATGCAAAAAAATATTAAAAGTAGATATTTTCCTTCAGAAAAATAAGCAGTGTTTTCTCCAAGACTAAACTCAATAATGATTGTGGAATGACATGTGGTGTCATTAATGTGACCAGTGAAGAACCATTACAGAGTCTATCTAGACTAGCTAACAATCAAATCAAATGGAAAAGGATTCAGTTTCCCCCATTTACAAGGTGTAATGAATGTGCTTATCAGTGAATATGAAGTGCTTATCAGTGACATGTGCTTATCAGTGAATATGAAGTGGAAGGATGATCTTTATGTAAATATAACACAGTAAAAAAAGTGAAAAGGAAATAAAATTTTTTAAATAAAATACAAAAATTACTAAAGTAAGGCTATTTTTTATTCATCAATTAAGTAAGAATAAAGTTAGATAAGGTGCGTAGCCAAATTATTCAACAAAAAATAAGCACCTTTTAAGCACTCAAGTAATATTTTTAAGCAATTAAAAAAAATATCATAATTAGGTAGGGTTGGAAAGTTTTTAACAATTGAGGGTTTTAACCATCATGTCAAAAACAAAAAATTTTGGCATTGATTTGACAATTGTCAGAAGCATGTAAATTGAATATGCTATGACTGACGATGCCCCAAAATAGATTGGGAGTGAATTAATTGTGAAAATGTTGAATAGAACAATGTGAACTGCGTTTTTTTTGCATAATTCGTGACGAAAATCAACATGGTAAAGGAAAAATCTTATTTTGGAAAAGGGAAAATTGGGCACTTTTTAAAAACACACAATGAAAAAAGCACCTTTAAGGGCTTTTAAAAAATGCTGTTGTAGTATGCTACTTCCGACCACCGTATGGCATCCTCTTATTTTCATTTAAAAAGAGTAGTTATAATTCCCATTAATAGATTTATTGTGATAAAAATTATTAAGGATATTTGTTAAACAGATCTCAAAATGTGATTTTTTTTTTCTTTAAAAAGAGAGGCACTAATTATAATTCAAATCATTAGATTTATTATTTTTTTCTTTAAAAAGACAGATACTAATGATACAAATTAAAAAATTATTTTTAGATTAACAGTTAAAATTAATAAGGTTGATCTTGATCAAACCTCGAAATTTTTTTTTTAAATAGGTGAATACAAAATATTGGACCAATTCATGAAAGTTAAGTGAAATAAATGACTTGTTGGATTCTGCCTGTTAAGTGAAAGCCATATACTTCACAAGTCTTTATGACAATGATTTTAGTTCTATTTGACGTTTAAAATAAACAGTCAAATTAAGTTTGTATTATTCAAATGTGGTTTAAAACCTTTTCAGGGTGCATAGCTAAACCTCTCAACAAAAGATAAGCACCTTTTAAGTACTTTTTAAGCACTCAAAAATTATTTTTAAGCACTATATACATTAACAAAATCCAAAATAATTTTCAAAGGCATTACATCTTCATGATAAAATAACTAGTTTCTGACAAAGAAATCTTTATCCTGATTACATTAGCCATTATTAACCCTTTCGCGACGCAAAGCGCGCTTACTGCTGAGGCCGGCAGTCTCTTTAGCGTGTGTCTCCCCAGGGCCGGAGGGTTTTTTGATGTTAAGCCTAATTCCATGAAATTACCGAAATATCAGCGGGTTGTTTAATATTGTTCTGTAGAGTATTTAAGTGACATATGCTTTATATATATTTCTATGGATACTTTATTTACTTAAGTTATTTCTTGTTTAAATGTAATATAAATATTAATAAGTTTAAATATTTTGCATAATTTCCTCTATTTCCAGCTCAGTTAAAAATTTTCGACGCTTCGACATTCTAACGGTAAAAAGAAAAAAAATTCAAGCCTACAAGATCTAATTATCCACTAAAAACTAATCCGAAAATCGAAAGTAGCGAGAGAAAAAAAAAACTCCCTTACTTACTGTAAATAAATATCACGTGCTAATTTAAAGAGCCCTCATAAAACATTCCCCCCCTCCACTCCTTCCCCTAAAAACCACGTGAATGTACTTTCATCTTGAGTAGAAGGTCAAATCTACATGTATCTGAAACCATATGGACATACAATGCCATCTTTTGGAAGAAATTTCATTTTTTAAAACGTTCCGAAACGCTGGCACAAATAAGTGACGGTCGGGGGTGAACGAAAAAACTCTCTGACACGCGGGTGTGTCGGTCGGGAAGTGAGCGCGTTTCTTGCTGGCACATATATGTGACAGTCAGCTCGAAAGGGTTAAATGCTCGAGAGATTTTTCGGTCTGATATCAGAGGGTGGAAAGTGAAGCCTGAAATTGAGAATATTGCGCAAAATGCAGCAGAGTTGCTCACGAGAGAGCAATAATCTCACTGAACTCAACTCAGTAGACGCACATGAGGACTCCCAAGTATTTCATCAAACTTGTAAAATGATTGTCGTTTTCATACGCTATGGACCGACAGTACACTGAAATAGATCAGGGTTGCCACTCAAATCCGAAAAAACAATTCCCTGTATTTTCCCTGTACATATTATACACAATATATTAAGAGGAAACAACAATTATTGTGCTCTTGTGTGAGCTATAGTGAGCTTACTATATTTATTAGTTTTGATTGTTGGAAAAACAGCAGAACATACTTAAATAATGCTATAATAAATGAAATAGTTTAGTATAGCTGAAATATCATAGTTAAATATCCCATAGATTACGCTTCGAGAGGTCACCATTTTTTAAAAGACAAAAATAAGAAACAAATTTCCCTGCATTTACCGTGTTATTTTAGGTGATTTTCAAATTCCCTGTATTTTCCAGGTTTTCCCTGTGGAGTGGCAACCCTGTAGATGGTGTTGTTGTCGACCTATGCCTGTTTACTCAGAGGGGGTGCGATTGTTCTTATTTTCCAGTGGCGCCATCTATGGCCGAGAATTCGACTTCTGCCACACCATACGTTGCACCCGTTTATAGGGGGGACCCATTCATTCATCCACAGATCGTTATTTTGACCTGAATCAGAGAACGATCGATCTCCAATTCAGTACCCCTAGAGGTATTGATTTGTTATGGGAACATGGAGGACTTCGACAGATTTAACGTGCATCAGTGCTGAGTGCATGGAGGACTTTCGCGACTCAGCAGATTTGAACGTGCATCAGTCACTTTACTACGGGAGTCTTCGGCCGGCGGGGTTCGAACCCACGAACTCTCGCACATGGGCCCAGCGCCCTACCGACCAGGCTATCCCTCTTAAGTAAAATCCATTAGAAATCAGACCATAATGTCAGGGACATTGTTGGTGCTGACATTCTAGGGAAACTAAAACAACTTTCCCTTTCTCATCGGATCTACTTTCAGAGGATTCCGTCACATGTCGATATAGCTGGAAATGAGATTGCTGACAGTTGGGCCAAAGCAGGTGCTAAAGAGGCCATTATGACTGTCGCTCCTCTTACTTACTTTTTCTAAATGTAAGGCAAAGAATATGGCCATTTGGACGGTCCCGCCGGTACACTCATGGTATCAGAGTAGGTGCCGAGGGGGCTCCTTGGCTCGGGGCAGCAGTAGACGAGAACAAATTGCCATGACTCGTTTCCTCAGTGGACATTTGTCAACAATGACTTATATCGATGGTAATAAACATTTCAAAATCTGCACTAAGTGTTCTGCTGCCCAGGTCTCCTCTGACTACAGGCCCTCTCTTACTAAACGGTGAGACTTCGGCCGACGGGGTTCGAATCTACGAACATGGACCCAGAGCCCTACCAACTAGGCTATCCCAGCACCTGTTTTACTTTTAACATGAATTAACAACTCAGATGACGAATTAATTATGTATAATGAGTCATTTATTTTATTTTATCTTTCGTTCACTCTCTGCCGTCAATAAAAGACTGTGAGTCAATGATGACGTGACACTAGATTCGCTTCAACAATACGCCCAAATAGATTGGGGTTGAATTAATTGTGAGAACATTGAATGTGAGCTGTGTCTTTTTGCATAATTCGAAGCAAAAATCAGCACAGTAAAGAAAAAAATCTCATTTTGAAAAAGGGAAAAATGGAGCACTTTTTAAAAACACCCACTGAAAAAAGCACTTTTAAGGGCTTTTGAAAAATGAAAATAAGTACCTTTAAGTACTTTTTAAAAACGCTACGCACCATGCTTTTTAAGGACAACTTTAGATCAAAGACTTACTTCATGGGTTGTGAAGGGGACAAACACGCCAATAGATCCAGAGAGTGTCGTGTACACCAACGATTCCGATCCTCCGGGTATGAGAGTAGACTTTTGTAGAGATAGAACCACTTCCCCAATGTGGAAGTTCGAAATCACTTCAGCCTGTTTAATATAAAATCAATTCCGAATTATAACACTATAAAAATAATTCAGTCTTTGAGAATCATTTTCAAATCTTACGATTCCAAAAGTTGTTTTCAATGTTAATTGTAATTCTAAACTCTTATTTTTAAATGCAACCATAGCTGCCAACACAATCAGGAAAAAATCCAGTAGATTTTACAAAATAATATAAATTTCATGATAATTGTTGCGTAACATAAGAAATATTTAGTCTTTGAGACTCATTTTCAAATCTTACAATTCCAAAAGTTGTTTTCAACGTTAATTGTAATTCTAAACTCTATTTTTAAACGCCACAACTGCCGACATAGCCAGGAAAAAAAATCCAGAACAATTTACGAGAAAATATAAACATCATAATAATTATTGCGTAACATAATAAATATTTTACATATAGAGATCAGAAGAAGAAATCCAAGAAGTATCCAAGGAGTCCAAAATGTTAGGGATTTCAGAATTTTTTTTTTTTAAAATTAAAAAGCAGTTATTATAAAGAACTTGCAAAAATGTATATTTTGCATAAGGAATTTTTTTTTAGCCCTTTTGAAGTAAATTTTAACTTTGTTAAACTTCATCAAGAAAAATAAATAAAGTTATCACTTTCACACATAAATATATTTTCTAGTTTCAAATATTTTAAGAAATCTTGTTAAAGAACATAGTACAGATGTTAAAGATTAACATAAAAACCTACCAATTTTATTTTTTCAAATTTGAAAATACAAGGCATTTTATACAAAAAAACATCACAGTAAATCATCAAGTTTGCCATGTTACATGAAAAATTAAAATTATTTGCTGTTATTTTTTTCTTCTAACTCTTGCAATTCAAATTTTTTTTCTTTGAAAGTTTCCTTCTTAAACTATTAGATTTTGACAGCTAAGTCATATCATTTCGTTTCCCTGCTTGGACAGGAAATTCATCAGCGGACTTAGTAAGTTCATCTATGCAATGCAATAATCTAAGGAGTTTCTAAGGACTAATTTGGAAATCAAAGTAGTTCCAAGTACTCCTTGGAGTCTTTTTTTAAATTTCCAAATAGTATAAGGAGTCTGTACGAACCCTGGTTACGATTCCAAAAGTTGTTTTCAATGTTAATTGCAATTCTAAACTCTATTTTTAAATGCAACCATAGCTGCCGACATAACCAGGTAAAAAATGCAGTAGATTTTACGAGATAATATAAATTTCGCGATAATTGCTGCGTAAAGTAATAAATATTTTAAATATAGGGAATTTTAGAGATTTTCATGGCCATCAAAATAGAAAAATTTCAAAATGTTCCAGTTATCATTAACTGTTCTCACTCAATTTCAGAAAAAAAAAACCCGACTTTTCCAAGTATATTTCAATGAAAATCAATACCATACTTTATCTATGCTATGAGATTTTTCATCAGAAAATGTGAGCTTACTATATTTATTACTTTTGATTGTTGGAAAAACAGCAGAACATACTTAAATAATGCTANAGGAAGGAAGCATTTCAGTTTGTCAAAAATGTGAAATTTTTACAATAAATAATTGTATTAGATGTTAGAATTATTTAACGGGAATCTCAACAACTGAGTACTGTTACTTACAATTTTAAGACTGGTTTTTTACCAGGTATAATGTAGCAATTTTCCAGGTTTTCGTAAAAGAATTGCAACTTCCCTGACCATTCCCAGATTTTTGGAGTTTAAACAAAATTCCCTGACAATTCCAGGCTTTCCCTGATTTCAAATTAAACATACTTGAAATGATATGTATTATGTTTACTCATAATTTCGAATACAAAAAAGCATTTAATTCAACAAAGATAGTTAAAAGATTTTATTTAAAAATTAATTTAAAAAGAGAGTTCTAAAAAAAATAAAATGAATATTTTAGAAATAAAATGAATATTGTTAGATAGAAAAATCATCTTTTGATATACTTAAATGACACAAAACAAGTTTTAAATTCGTAAACCCTAGACGAAATTAAAAAATAGCAATTGATACACTTTTAACTATAGTAAACTAGTATGTACTATTTATTTTATAAATCTTAACCATAAAAGAAATCTATATGGAAATCAAGAATAGAGCAAAACATTATCCAGTGTTACACTATCATGCTACATACATTTTCAACTCAAAAAAAAAGAAGCTAAAATTATAGTTTTTTTTTATTATAAAAGTAATGCTAAGCATGCATTACCACATGTGTTCTTAAGTTTAATTGCTACAGATAAAATCCGTTAATTTCATTTGAGTTTTTCGTATGAAATGTAAACAAAAAGGAAAGGAATTTTACTGTTTTCTCTAAACGTTAAGTGGCATTAAAAATCAATTCAAGTTCACTTTCTCCACAAAATACGTTAACAAGATTGAAATGTTCTGAAATATTTTGGGAAATAGAAAAAGTGGATCTCAAAGAAAAGTTCGCTAAAGGGAAAATTCACACCGCTATTTTACAAAGAAATTTCCAAAATGTTCTTGGTTCCTCAATAAAAAAAAATCGCAAAATGGAAGTTTGTTAAATAGAGGTCCGACTGTATAAACAAAAAATGAGAATATCTTAAAAGCTATGTTTAAGAAAACCTTTTGTGAAGATCCTCCCAGCCAACCTCTGTCCCAGAGAGCCTTGACACCTGTGGGATCTTCTTCAACCTCATCACTAATCACAGTAGGTAAACGAATCTAAAGAAATAAACTGTCAATTAATAGAAAAGTACTGAAAGGGGAATCAAGCAAAATCTTTCAACAAAAAAATAAGTATTTTTGAAACACATTAACAAAATGCAAAACAATTTTCAAGATCATGATAAAATAACTAATTTCTGACAAAGAACTACACGTTTCACGTTTAACATGTTTTTGAAATAAATTTATAATTTAATTACCTACCAATAAAGAATATCACACTTTTAGTAACTAATTCAAGAAAAATCTTAGTTCTTACAAGAATCGCATCATTGAATTTAAAAAACACGTGAATACGAAAATCAATAATTAAATTTAGAAATGCATGAATACAAATTGTAAAATTGGAGTTTGAAAAGGCGAGAATACGAATTGTGACATTGGATTTTAAATGCGTGTGAATATGAATCGTGTCACTCGATTTTAAAAATGCGCGAATATGAATTGCGATGTACGATTTTTGAACAAATTGAGCACAAATCGCACTTGAACTTTTCAATGAGGTAATTACAAAAATTGATGTTTGTATTCAAACCGTGTTCAGTTGATTCAGATTCCGGTGCAGTTCCAAGTAATCAAAATGTCCGATTCTAAGTTCTTGATTAGCAAAAATCTGAGAAACATTGCTCTTGAGAAACTTGATATTCCCAGAAAAATCATATGCCCTGCTCCTAATTTTTACACCCAGAAGGACAATTCGTACAATCCTCTCCTCCCGAGTCTAGTTCAAGCTTGTACCTCTGTCCCCACTGGTTTAACCACTTTGCACTTGTTTACTTTTCTATTTTTGTTTGGAGTTAAGACACTGGGGAAGATTCTTGTTTATAGAACTGAAACTATAGTATGTCCATTTGCTTTAGGAAATAGAAGAGTTCAGTAAAATGCCAAAATGTATAGATTGAAGATGACGCAATTCGCTTAAAAAAGCTATCTTGATTCTTTGTGTCAGAAAGTTCAAAATAAAACTATTGCATTGATTATAATGCAGATAAATTTGTTATTTTGATAAAATTTTTTGTTTAAAAAAGCAGTATCAATGCCTGTAATATCTTTGAACCAAATGTGAATAGGAGAAAAAAAAAATTTCTTCATATTTTCTTAAAATCTTAAGCTAATTTGCAAATTTTAAGTGAAATTACCTCATGTAAAGTACGATTCATAAGACATCTGCAGTACCGTATATTCCAAAGTCTACTCTTACTGATGAATTTAAAATGACAAATGAATTTTGTGCACATGATTTGGTATATAATTCTAGCCCTGAATTTACACTAGTTAAAACACAAATATAGAGTTGTGTTTTCCAAATATGTAATTTAAATACAAAAAATAATTTGTAATAATCTAAACTATTAAATCAATAATATTATAATTCCATCTTTCATTTTAAGATATACCTTATACATAAAACCCTCTGAATGCACTTCTGATTCAAATGAATTATTGATATTCCATCTGTTAAAAATAATTTAACTAAACTAAGAGAATAATATGGTCATCACTTGTTTCATTTAGTTTATAGATTAGGTAGATTTTTCTACTTAGTAGCAGGGCTTGTGATTTTTTTTTTGATTTAAAAAAAAAATCAGATTTTTTTGATTTAAATTGGACTTTTTTGATATTTTTTCAAATACACTGTAAGAACTTTGATTTATGGTTAAAAAAACTTTATGAATCAAAATTAAATTAATATTAAAATTACATTATTTAAGAAGCTCAAACTACCTAAAACAATTTTCATTATAATACACAGCTTTGAATGCATAGCAACCATTTTGAAACAAATGCAGGATTGAAATTTAAAGACTAAATGAAATAGAGAATTTAAACCCTATTTTTGGCATATTAGGGTAATTTCTTTTTAAGATAACCTTAAGCTTTAGAAATATACATTTTCCACCAATAAAATATAATGTAGATTTTAATTCCATGTTTTTTCAATCAAAAGGTAGAATTTTAATTAACATTATTTGTATTTCTTGGGGGAAAAAAATTCATGTTAATTGATTACTTTCTACAGCTATGCAAGTCTATATTAAGACAGAATTAAATGTTTACTTTAATCTGTACTTTCAATCTCAAAAATCAAAAGATTTTTAAAAATGTAATTTCAAATGTGTTGAAATTTAACACACAGCAAGAAAGAAAGTAATTTCTTTAACTAAAATATATATGCAGCAATTTATTTAAAAAAAATTTTAAAACTAAAAAAAGAAAATAATAAAAGTATCAACAATTTAAAACACTGTTACTGAACTTTTTAAATCAGTATACATATATATACATAAATCAGTTGATTTAAATCAATGATTTAAAAAAAAAATTATTTGATTTAAATCGTTATTTAAATCAACAAACCCTGCTTAGTAGAAAAAAATCTGTGAGACTTGCATTGCTATCACAGGGGGTGATGTTCAAGTTCCATAATTTGCATCTTCTCGTATTTATTCCACCACAAGCTTAGATTTCTCCAATCAATACCACCAACTCAAAGGGACGTAAAAGTTTTTGCTTTATTAAGGATTTTACTTTATTACAGATTGGGTAAATTTGCCAGGGATATTGAATATGTTTTGGTACTAGTTGATCACCCAAATAGGATAGCAATTCACAGGCTTAAAAATAAGATTTTAGAAGTAAAACATTAAATACTCACTATAGATATGTTTCCAAATTTATCAGCTCCAGCCACTGTGTTGCAATCTAAAAGGCAGGCAGAAGTCACCCACCTGGGATTGGTGTCATCAGCAAAGATGATAAGCTGATTATCTTGACGCTTATACCTGACATAGAAAAAGCTTTCCTGCACGTCTCCCACAATGATGCGGTTGCCTACTGCTTGCAAAGTAACTATCTGGTTGGGCAGATGCTGCAAATATTCATAAGTAAATTATTAAAATAGCTGTAAGATACAAAAATATTGCACACAAATTAAATCTCCCACAATGATGTGGTTGCCTACTGCTTGCAAAGTAACTATCTGGTTGGGCAGATGCTACAAAATATTCGACACAAATGAAAAATAAGGGGAAAGAAAAATAAAGTGCATTAACACATATACTGTTTTAAATTAATTTTAGATGTACTTGAGTATAAAAACTAAATATATTAGCAAAAAAAGGTATCAAATTATGGTTTCTGTAACAAAAATTAAATTTTTATGAATAAAATTTAAAATTTCGAATATATTACTTTAAAAGATACAACATTTGTTTTTCTTAAAAAAAAAAAAAAATAGTTTAAAATTATTGCAACATTTAGTAATATTATTTGTTTAACTGTACAATAATGGGTTGAAAACCCTCCGGAGCTTCTGAACACACAGAGTATTTTTTTCTTAAGAATTAAAAAAATTTTGAGGCATCACTTTTTAATTTGCACAGATTCCATAGTAAGTCTATTTCGGGTGCCTTTTCAACTGTTATTGCCACGAAATTCCGCATGATTTTTAAAAAACCCAATTTTTAATACGATATTATGATGCGTTAATTTAAAAGGGGAAATTTTTTAGAAAAAGAATTTTCTCTAAAATGAATTCTAGTAATTTTTAACTCCACAATAATAAAAAGGTCTGTGATGTCATGCATCTGTCACAAGACTGGGAGATATTCTCACTTTGTTTTAACTCTTGTCTGAAATACACAGATGAGCTTCTGCATCATTTACGAAATGGTCCCTATCGAAATGAATGCATACAGTATGCAAATTATGCTTCTATAACAGAATTTCACAAACTATCTTTTTTCCTTCTTAAAGGTAAAAAGAATGATTTTTTTTAGCTGGTAACTTTTTTCTCTCAACTTAAAAGTTAAACATTTTCATTATAAGCATAGTTTTTTTTTTCTTCAGAAAACTTTTCCTGTTATTCCGATGGTTATACACTGTGTTTAATTAATTACTGTCTACGATAAAATAAATTAACTAAAATAGAAAATTTTAAAATAACACAATTTGTACAAGAAAAAAAAATGGACGAAAGTGAATACAGTATGAAAATTATGTTTTATACTACCTTTTATCTCCTTTTTTTTCTTCTTCTGAAATATGACAGTAGAAAGATAAATTGAAGTTAAGTTGAAAACGTAAAAGTGAACATCCTCGTTATAATATATTTTTAGAAATAAAAAAATTTCCCAGCTATTAAGATGGTTATACACCTTGCTTTATTAATAACTGTAGAAAATAAATTAAATTTCACGGCAGTCCTTATCGTACAGTGAAACCTGCCAAGTTGATCACTCTTGTAAGTTGGACACCAGCATAAGTTGACCTCAATTATCATAAACGGAATTTTTCCTATATAATATAAAGAAGCAAAACTTTTGTAACTTGACCACCTGTCTATCTTGTATGTTGCCCACTGAAATAAGTCAATTTTGTCTAGGAGTATTATGAAATTCTATTCTAAAATCCTCATAAGTTGACCAGGAGAAAAAATATTCAGAAAAGTTTCTGTCATTTTGCAATGCATGTTAAAATTTCACTTGTTTGGTGAAATAGTGTAAAAATCTAATCTAAACCCTTCTGTGAGTTGACCATCTGGGGAAACAGTAGGTGTCAGCTATTGACCTATTCTTTCATTCAAAACATTGGGCTAATGCAAAATCTAAACAACAGCGCCAAACAACACTGAGGGAATATTTTTGTAACAAATAGGTTTGTAAGTGTAGTAATAACAGAATAAATTTTAAAGGGTTCAAATAATTTTGTTTTGTTCAAGTTTTCAAATGACATGTTTTCATGTTCTGATATTTTAAGAAATTATTTTTATTAAACACTTCACATACATAACTAACGAAAAAATTTTGAAAAAAAAAGTTAGTTGGATATTAGAATTATGTGTAACAAATTGAAGTTCATTCAGGTTTAAACACATTTCTTAAGATATTCATTTGGCTATTTGCTAAATAAAATTTTAAAGTAGAGTAAAACACATTTTTAAATATATAGCAACATGATATAGGAAACGAAAAAGTAAAAAATGACCCACCCCCTCTATAAGTTGACCACTAAAACAATGAACCACAAGCGGTCAACTTACACAAGTTTTACTGTATGACATTTCAACACAAATACAGGTTCAATGAAGGACAAGCATACACAATAAAAATGAGTTTCAATTAATGAGCTCACTTTGTTTTCACACTTCCTTAAAAGTTTCTTTTTCCCAATATCGTAGATTCTCAGCATGCTGCCAACACCAATTAAAACTCTTCCTTGAAACGGGCATATGGCAACGGGCATGCCATCGACTGGCGTCTTATGCAAAAGTTCAAGCTTCCTTCCGTCAATCAAAACTCTGTAAGTGTGGATCACTCCACCATTACAATGTCCAACATTAAGTTGTAAGTCTTTGACAATTCCCACCAGAAGGAACTGTTCTTCGCCGTGACTAGCAAATTTCACAAGGCACAAACTGAAAAAGAGATTTTTCACTTTCAAACAAATATGTAAGCTGCCAACATGAATAGGAAAAAAGACTTAAAGAAATAATATAAATTTCATGATAACTGTTTGAACTAAATGCATAGCTGCCAACCTCTAATTGGAAAAATGCAGAAGATAGTAAAAAAAAAAAGCAGAAGATTTGCAACTGCATACTAATAAATTTTTAAAAAAAGTGGATTTTAATTAATTATTTACTTATAAATCCACTATAATATGAGCATAAAAAAGCAATACTCAACTTTTCTTTAAAACAAGAAAAGGAAAAAATTTAAAACCAGGTACTTGATGGTACAATATTCATTTATTAATTCGTGATTAAAGAGAAACATGTAATACTTTAAGACTTATATTAACATTAGTTTAATTACAATATAATAGTATGCACAATATATAAACTTAATATAAAATACGGAAAAAAAAATTGCATGAAAAAAAATTTGTTCTTCTGGTGTTTTGTCGATTTTACGTGTCTGACTATATCAGTTTTACCACCGTGCGCGAAGCTGAAGTCATTTTCACATACGTAGCAACGTACATCATGTACTCCAAGATTCCATCTAGAAATAAATGGTAATTCAAGAGAATAAGACTCCTTAAAGGCCTGTTTGTATTGTTTTTGTTCAGCCATAATAAATTAACAAGACTAATCTAATGAGCAAATAAATACCGCCATAAACCAATTGTTGTTTTGATTTTACACAAGCCATTTTCTTTTAACGTTTACTTTCGCGCCGGCAAACAGGAAGTCATGGAGTAATGGGAAGTGCTCTTGCAACAGAATTCCTTCTCTCATTGGTAGAAGAGAGAAATCCATTACGTCACACTGAACGATGTGACATAAATGGAAGGAAAGGGAAGATCACCGCAAGTGGGCCTCCAAAGGCCATTACTAGAGGAGCATCGACATCTGACTTAAAGAAAATATTAGCTATCGGGAGGACGGGTATAATGCAGAAGATCTTATCTTCTGCGAGTAAAAAAAAAATTAGCTTAAATAAGTAAAAATGCAGAAAGCTTCTGCAAAATGCGGAAGGATTGGCAGCTATGTAGATGTATGGATTTTTATAGTCATCAAAATACAGAAACACCACTAACTATAAATCGCTCATGGGCTACAATAGTGGCACAACTCAAAAAACATGCATTTTGAACTAAGAACAGGTGTAAATATGAAAATACACATTCTTTTCAGCAGCAATACTAGCACAACTCATAATCCAACTTTAATGTAATCTTCGTTTAAGCAAACTAAATAATTTCTTATGCATTTTCTTAGCAATGAAAAATTTAAACCCACTTATCTCAAAACTTGATTTTTTGAGTTGTGCCGCTACTGCAGCCCGTGAGTGAAAAGGTTTGCAATATTATTCATTTCTGATTGACATTAAATGAACTCGAAATGTTTTATTTTATTATGTTAACTCATGACCTTGAATAGCAATAGACAAGTGATTTATGGCTGATAGCTAAAAGAATTTTTAATTCATTTAAAAAGGGAGTTGAAAATTTTGGAATAAGAAAAAAAAAAGAGCTTACAAATGCTTACTATAATTAAGGCTTCATTATATATAGGTTATTTTTGTTTATTTAATTAATTTATTAGTTAATTAATTAGCAATTTTTATTGAAGCAAGCAATGAATTGTTCTAAAATTCTATTTCAAACTAGATTTTTTTAAAATTTTTTTTTTAGGAAACTTACTCAATTTAAGGGAATTTTCTAAAATGTACAAAAAACTTTTATTAAATCAGTAGACTAGGAGAAACTGGTAAAAATTCAGTAGAGTTGGCAGCTGTGTAAATATATAATACCTGTAAGCTGCTTCATTTTGTTCGAGAGGAACTTTGAAAATAGTCTTCCCTTCAATGGGATCCAAAATACGGATCACTGATGCCCACATGCCAGTTCCTCCTTTGGGTGAACCAAAGCATTTCTCATCAAGATTTTCGCTTAAAAATTGGGCAGCCATTTCCGCAGCTAACTCCTGTTCCTCTTCTCCTGCAGCTTCTACCATTTCCTTAAATTCAAAAAAGAATAAAATTTAAAAACTATTATTTGAAGTGTTATTTTAATTCCATCAAAAATTACTCAAAATAGAAAAGACAATAAGAATTGTGAAAAAAATAATCTAAAATCAAAAGTTTAGAAAGGATTTATTAAATAAGATTCCTCCTGTCATACTGTTAACACTAGCATGCAGAACAAGTTAAAGAAATAATGCAGAGCAAAACTTAATTCTAAGTGCATGAGTAACTTTTGAATAGCTTAAACATTTTTTCTTTCTTTCCTTAGTTCATATTTTGTTTATGCATTTAAAAACAACAACAACTTTTAATTACTTGCTTAGAATCAGGATTGTGTGATTTAAATCGCTTCATTTTCTCATAAATTTTTTTTATTGATTTCTTTAAAATAAATACATTTTGTTTAAGGTGAAAGTTTTTATTTTTATTTTTGTAAGAAAGACTGAATGAGTAAGTTTGGCCTTCACAGATTGCTTGTGAGTACATCAAATATGAATAGTCAGACATATTCAATGAAGTTATTTTTCAAATTACAGTACAACAAAAAATGAGAGACGCCAAATTTGCCTTATCACAGCATGTTGCCGTCGCACAGCATGTGACGAAGAGGAAAATGGCATCATTGAAATTTAATTGATCACTAACTACACATCTTTTTAAATCACACAATTATTTTTAAATATTGCTAAGAGATGGCGCAACTAGTCCCACTTTCATCACAATTTTCACTGTGAGATTTCCCATCTAGAATTGTAATCAATATCATTTTGTACTTAGTCATTTCTTTTCAAAACTATTCATTAGTATTAAAATTATCTCATTTCATTTGTGTTAAAATTTATTATTATTAATTAGTTATTAGTAGTAATTATTATAAAATTATTTCATTAGCTATGAAATTATTCTCCAAAATATTTTTTACCTAGTTTTAATAATTATTTCATGCAGATATTTATCTCATTCATCTTATATAGTTAATAATTATATAAGGTATAGCACTATAGTTAATAACTAGATTGCTACATCTTATATATAGATGTAGTTATAACTAGATGTAGCAATATAGCTAATAATAAGCAATATAGCTAATAACTATGTTATCACAGTGTATTTTTTAAAAATAAAACTTGGACGCATTGTAGGGAAAACTGGAGATCAGTGGACAGGACATCACCATCAATAGATGGGGCAAAAAAACTGCTGGATGACAAAAATGTTTTGCATTTTTGAATTTAGGATAAAACATACATTAATTTTCAGCAATAAGAAGAAAAAAAAAGCCCTTTTTTGGTTGGAATTTCGGAAAAAAAAAATCCATCAGAGAAGGAGTTAAAATAGTCTAACAAATAACAAAAAGAGACAGACCAATCATTGATAAAAGTGATGTAAAACTTCAAAATTATAATTTTCCACTAGTTATATATGAAATATTTATTTATTCATTATACATATTTTAATTACTTCCATTTAGTTTTATATTTATTTAAATTAAATGCGAATGCTTTTAAAATTTACTAAATATGTAGTTAGTATACATGAATAATGAAGAAGACTTGTTTTGCTTAGAATAATTTTTTTATCATGTTTCCTGATTTAAAAAAAATTTATTTTTAGTTTGAGATCTAACAGACAAATTGGGTCTATGGTAAGAGTCGCGTGCAGGCTGTTGCAAAAAAAAGAAGAAAACCAAAATCATATTAAGATATGCTTTCTCCAAGTCGACAAAAATCAAAACACAATAATTATTTCATGTGAGTTAACAAATGATAGTTAACAAAGTGGGTTAACAAATAATAATTTCTCCTAAGTTTCATTTTACTAGAACACAACCAATGAGTTCACCTTTTTCTATAAATAATTCTCTTTCGTAACTAATTTATCTCTAAACATGTTTTCTAATTAAAATCATTAAACTAAACAGAAAAATGGAGTAAAACATAAAAGAAAAAAAAAAGTTCGGTTCTTAATCCTTAAATTAAAAATTGAATTAATAAATGCTTATTTTAAAAATTTAATAATATTTTTTTTTTAGACCTTTAACTAAAAATAAATTATTTGCAGAATTTTACTAAAGTAGATCGAAAAAGTGTGCATAGTTACCAAAATTTAAGAATTTTCAAACTTTGGTTAGTTGAGACTCTTACTTATTTAAACCACGAGTGTTACTTATTAATTAGTGTTACTGGTTACATTATTATAGTGTTACTTATAACTTTATTATAGTGTTAGTTATTTGACCTCAAATGCAGCAGAGTTGCACAGGAGAGTGCGCAGCTCAGTAGACGCACATGCAGACTCGCAAGTATTTCACCAAACATGTAAAATGATTGGCTCTTTCATACGCTGCGGGCCGACGGTACGCCGAAATCGATTGTGGTGGAATGTATCGTGAAAACGTTGAATAGAACAATGTGAAAAGCACGCTTTTGCATAATACATGGCAAAAATCGACCATCAAAGAAAAAATCTCATTTTTGAAAAGGGAAAATTAAGCACTTTTTGTGTTGTTTCCAATCCCAGCTGGGATAGCGGAGCTATACCAAGTCCATGAGGCTGTGAGTCTTCAAAAAATCGAGGAAAAGGAGAGGTCTCTCAAGATCCTCTTCCATGGTGAAATCCAGGCAATCAAGTAGGTGGTGAGGACTAGCCTCGCTGGAGTTGCACTTTTTACGAGATGGAAAAAGTTTAATTTGTCGACTGAAAGTGAGGCTCTTAGTATGCCCACGGACAAATCTGCAGGTAGCGGTTTGGTCGGCACGTGTAGCCTGAAGGTCAAGGGCTCCTTCAGGATGCTTACGGGGACACCAATTGTGATCCGGTGGAACAAGCCAAGCTTTATTAACTTTAGATTTGCGAATAGAAATTAATTCAGAGTAAAAGGCCCCCCCCTAGAGTCCGGCAGACGGCCTAACAGCAGCAAGGGGGTGTTCCTGGGCGGGACGGGTGATGTACGTCGGAAGAATTTTTCTCCTGGTAGGGCCACCTTAGGCGCAAAGGCCATTCCATTTTTGCCCAGCTAATGTCTGCAGGCATTTTTGGAGTTAAGTCAAACTTCTACCACCGGTGCTCCTGATCCTTTGATCAACAGAAGCTGTCCCCTTTACCATGAGTTTGTTTTCTTTAAGCACTTTTTAAAAACACCCAATGAAAAAAGCACCTTTAAGGGCTTTAAAAAAATGAAAATAAAAAATAAGCACTTTTTAAAAACGCTATGCACCATGTATATTATAGTGTTAAATATTTGACCTGAAGAGTGTTGCTTATTACTATTTAAAGGAAGAATACCTCAGCCATCTGTCTTTTTCTGATTCCTTTAGTCTTCTCTGTGTAGGCGTTGTGATCTGTTTCAATGAGGATCAAATTGTTGCTCTCAGGATGGATGATAAACTTACGGGGAGTGTATTCGAGGGGAGTGGCCACTTGATTGAAAACTGCACCTAATTTCTCTAAAGCTAAAATCCTTTTGGGAAAGCATAAACAAACAGCTTTAAAATATATATTTAAAAGTAAATCATGGCATGACATTTTATATATTCATGAAGTTTTTAAAACTTATAGCACTGGAAGAACATTTTGAGGAACGAAAAAAACTTTGTCAAGCTCGGTGAAACAGGGTGTGTAGCCAAATTATTCAACAAAAGATAAGCACATTTTAAGCACTTTTCAAGGACATAAAAAATATTTTTAAGCACTTTAAAAAAATATAATTAGGCAGGGTTGGAAAGTTTTTGATAATCGACGGTTTTATCCTGTTTTAACCGTCAGGTAAAAAAAAAATGTTTGGCATTGTTTTTGACAGTTGATTTAAGATTTGAGTTTCAGGTACCACGGGCCGACTATATGCTGAAATAGATTGGGGTTGAATGTATTGTGAAAACGTCGAATAGAACAATGTGAACCGTGTCTTTTTGCATTATTCGAAGTGAAAATTAACATAGTAAAGTAAAAATCTTATTTTGAAAAAGGGAAAATTAAGCACCTTTTAAAAAAACACATTTAAGCATTTTTTAAAAACGCTACTCACTCTGTTATAAGTACTACACAACAAATCAGGACATGAAATTTTAATTTTATATTTTCATGAAGTTTTTTAAACTTATAGCACTGAAAGAACACTTTGGGGAACGTAAAAAAATTTGGCAAGGTCGGTGAAAGCTCTTAACACAGTTTAACTTAATAGTCTGAATCAATTTTGGTGAAAATAACAAACTGGAACCACTCTGCCAACACAATTTGTTTATCAGCAGGGGTCTGTTTAGAAGAAATATGGGTCCATTACAAAATATCTTTCCATAAAAACGGACCCTTCACAAAATAATTTATCATTTGATTGGACCCTTCACAGATTTGTTTATCTTCATAATTGTTTTTTTAATCGAATAAACCCTTTCGGGAGGGGGAAGAAAGACGGTTCGAGACAAACTAAGTTTCCCTAAGTTTAAATTCCAAATGTAGTAATCTAAGAAAATATTTCAACTTTTACTAACATCTTGTGCGCATTCTTATCAATATTAAATTATATATTAATAATAAATTAATATTAATAATAAATGTATTAATAATAAATTAACATATATTAATAATAAATTAATTGATCAATTTATATTTATTCGTAAAATTAATTAATAGAATATTATGTAAATAAAAATTAATTTCTGGCAATTTTTTAAACTTACTCAATGCGTAACACATCAAAAGTGATACATTACTAAGTTGTGTTATTAAAAATATGTAAATTGAAATTATTAAAAATGTGGATGATTTCGTTTCCATTATTCGTCCGAAATGAATATTCTGCGTTGAGAAGTATGGGCTAAATACCAAATGTTTGTACGTTGCATCTCTAATTTAGTAGCAGCAATTGTTGAGTAGAATCTTGTATCTATATATTATTTAAACACTTCTTGAAAAGGTTTTTAGCAATTTTTGCAATAACCGGACCCTATTTGCACAAATTCACAAAAGCAGGACCCTGGTTGAAAGAATATGAATTAACGCTTATTTTATATTCACAGATTACGAGTAGTTTTTTCACAATTTTACAAAAACGGACCTTATCTAAAAACCATGCGGATATCTAAAAACCATGCGTAAATCAATATCTATAGCTGCCGAAAATGTAATCGAAACATTGCATCGATTTACGATACTATCGGCATAAATTGAACACATCAAAAAGTGATTATTTAAATGCATGATTCCCAAATATTATGTGTATTTTTCTGTAGAAAGAAGGAAAAAAAAACTAAAATTTTTGAACTTTTCAAAAGAAAAATCTTTCTGCAAGAACTCTTATGATTATGCCGCAGGCCAACAATGCTGGGATGTTTAACAGGGCTGCAAAAAACCCACCCTAAAGTGGGTTTTTCTAAGATTGATTTCTTTTTTTATCCTCTGTTATATTAAAGAGCTATTCTATTGAGATATTTATGTAGTCCAGCCTAAAAAAAAATTGTGTTGGAGAGTCACCCTGCTGACTAGATTTGACTGTATGGTCATTGATTATTCAGTGCCATTTATTCGCTTTCTATGCAAATAAAGAATGTTCCTCAAATATTTTCTAAGATTAAAATATAAGTAATCCTGTGTTAAAATAAGTTTCAAATGTACATATAACATTTTGTATCGTGATGTCAGAAGAAACGACTTCAATTTATTTGTATTAATTATCTATATGAAGTCAATTTATAAAATTAAACTTAATTATTAATATTAAAATAAGCTTTCTTAAAATAAGGTACTTATCCCTGCCCTCTCTTTTGAAAAAGCCCCCATGAAAACATGAAAAACCCACCCGGGTTGGGTTTTTCTACAAAAACCTGGGTTTTTTGCAATCCTGATGTTTTACGTTTAAATAATTGAGAGATAAAATGGTGAGTTAAAACAATTACCTTAAAGTGTTGAGGGAAATAGCAACAATGCCCTCCGGACATTGTTCCGATGAAAAACCTGATGCATACTCCAGAGTCTCGTAGGAGAGTGGGGTGAGGTGAAAGCGGTTCTGATAGTAATAACTGAGCCAAGAGCGGCTGGATATGGCAACCACCTGTTGGAGCGAAATATTTATTTACATGACAAATACCGGAATACTGTATTAATGACTTGAAACAACTACTACTTACAGCATCATTCCCCTGCATTCTGACTTTAAATAATTTAACAGGCTTTGAACCCAAGTATCGAGATCTCGTATCAGTCAAGTCACCAGAGATTTGATCCAAAACTGTCCTCAACAAACCACCGTTCTGGAAAAATCAATGCAATTAGAGATAAAGGGTTCATACAGCAGAGCTCATTCTAGGCAGAAGAAAGGGGCATTATTATTCTAAAAAGGCAACAATTTCTTTCTATGGGCCTTACACATTCTATTAAAAAACATTGTCAATTAGTAAAAGAATTTTTTTTAATTTTTAATTTGACTAAAAGTAGCAAAGCAGTCATATTAATTACTAATTTTTATTAATAAATTAACATGTATACCAAGTTAAAGAGCTAATTATCTTAGTAATTTATTTAAAATGCATGCATATATTAATAAAATAATAAATGTATGTTTTTAAGTGTCTGTAGTTATGATTTAATTATTAAAATGATTAATAATTATGATTTAATGATAGTGGAAGTAACTGCAAACTTTCAAAGACAAGTGCTATTTTTCCTTTCGTATATAAATCTATGTATTGACAGCAACGACAAACTAAATAAAAAGCGTTGAAAAGTTTAAGAAATCCATTGTAGAGTTTGGTGGAAAAATAAAGAAGGGTTGAGGAAAGAAAGNTATTCGAAAGATACTTTTTTCTTTTGACTAAAAGGGCAGCAGGGTGCTTCGCCCTATTAGTCAAAAGAACTCTGCCTAGTTTAACCTGATTACCCTGCCTAGAAGAACCTGTTTACCCTGCCTAGAATGAGCTCTGCATACAGAGATCATAAGAAAAAAATCCAAGGAGTATCCAAGAAGTCCAAAATTTTAAGGACTTTTAAAAAATTAAAAAACTTTGTGTAAAGGATAACTGGACAGTCTTTTTTTTTTAAAATTAAAAAGCAGTTATTACAAGGAACTCGCAAAAACGAATATTTTGCATATTTTTTTCTAGCCCTTTTGAAATAAATGTTAACTTTGCAAACTTCATCAAGAAAAATAAATAAAGTGATCACTTTCACACATAAATACATTGTCCAGTTTCAAATATTTTAATAAATCTTGTTAAAGTAGAGATGTTAAAGATTAACATAAAAACCTAGCAATCTTACATTTTTAAATTTCAATACATAAGAAAACCTAAGGCATTTTATACAAAAACAAAAAAAAATCACAGTAGATTATTAATTAAGTTTGTTTTTAACATGTGAAATTAAAATTATTTGCTGTTGTTTTTTTCTTTTAACTCTTGCAATTAAAATTTTTTTTTCTTTGAAAGTTTCTTTCTTAAACTATTAGATTTTGACAGCTAAGTCATATAATTTAGTTTCCTCTGCTTGGACAGGGAATTCATCAGCAGACTTAGTAAGTTCATCTGTGCAACACAATAATCTAAAGAGTTTCTAAGGATTAATTTGGAAATCTAAGTAGTTCCAAGAACTCCTTGGAGTCTTTTTTTATTTTATTTCCAATGGGTTTCTAAGGAGTATAAGGAGTCTGTACGCACCCTGAGCATTACTCAGTGAAACAATCAATTAAGCTAAAATATAATTAGGGAGTGGTGTAGAGAATAAAATTTAACTCCGGGCAGTTGCTAAAAAAAGTCATATTATTTTACCATGCAGGAGTAACAACAAATAGATGACGGCATAAATGTAACAGAAATAGAAGAAAAGTGTGATTTTTAATAATGTACATACTTGCAGTCCAATGTTCAAGTACAAAGTTCCTTGTCCACTGCTGTCTCTTCCCGTCCCCTCACCTCCTCCCATTTCCACAATTGCCAGGGACTCTGGGGTGTTTGGGAGACCCTGCATACTCAAGGGAGATAGGCAGTCCTGAAAAAAAATAAATCAATGTTCTATAAATGCATTTATTACGGTGAACCCCAGTAGAAAGCTGCAATTGTAAAAATAAAATCGCATGATCAGTGATTCCATTACAGAAAAAAAATGGAAGAGAATTTCTCACCCATTCTCAAAAACAGGGTGAGATTTCAAAAAGTGAGATTTCTAAAAATTAAAAAAACACGAATAGACTGGGAAAAAAATTATTTCTTTAATTATAATACATTTTTAACATCTTCTAATTGAATATTTTTGCTGCATCATCATATGGAAAATGTTCTATATCTACTTTTTCATCAGCTATTAGATTTATTTGGCTGAAAAATATCCTTATTTGCTTCGTTTTGACCGTTTCTACCGACATTTGTTTCATTTTCATTTGTCCGCTACCTAGCAGAAGATGTTGCCTTAACAAGGTATTTGTCCATCCGACATTCATGCACAAAAGAAGTAAACGTCTGACATGAAGAAACCTTACCTAGGGTGAACACGTGGTTGCAGAGAAATGCATTCTGAAAGGGGTTCCGTGGTTTGGGAAAGGGTTCTGCTGTTCACACCGATTCTAAACAATACTGGAAAAAAGGGAAGCTAGATAACAAGGACCGATGTTCAAAATAATGAAAGATCAAGGAAGAAAAGTGAAACGGATTTTATTCAAAATGGCAGAAATTATTTCCAAAATTCTCGCATTTTGAAATTGATTAATAGAGTGCACGAACTTCTCGCGTTTATAATTTTTTATTGCGAGAAAAGAAAAAAATGTGCGAGATTCTCGCGCTGTGGTGAAAACACTGCATGAGCCTTTGCTTTTGTCTCAAAATAATCTAGTAAGGAATGAAGTGAAATGAATTATTTAGTAAGAATTTAATCCAGGGTAATTGCTACATCTTAGGTTTTCAAATTCATGACTTTCCATAATTAATTCCAAGAATTTTTCACAACTTAACAAAGTTACTATTTTTCTCCGACAAAAACACAACAATACATTTAAAAAGGCATTACAATAACATTAATTGAAATGATAGGTGTAACCAAAACTGTTCAGGGGTCTGTCCAGACATGTTGTGAAAGGTCCGTTTTTCGTGAAATTGTGAAAAAACTACTCACATTATTTCAACCAGGGTCCGCTTTTATGAATTTGAGCAAATAGGGTCCGTTATTGCAAAAAAAAAAATTTTTCAAGGAGTTTTTAAATTGTAAAGACATACAAGATTATGCTCAACACTGTAAAATTATAATTAAAAAAATTAAATTTTAAAAAATAAACAACAATTGCTGCTTCTAAATTAGAGATGCAACATACAAATATTTGGTATTTAGCCTATACTGCTGAACGCAGAATATTAATTTCGGACGAATAATGGAAGAATCGTCTGCCGAAGACAAAACTTAATTCGTTTACATCCATCTTTCTTGTTTTCTGCCCTGGAAAGGGTTTATTCGATTAACAAAATAATAATGAAGATAAACAAATTTGTGAAGGGTCCGATTAAAAGAAAAATCATTTTGTGAAGGGTCCGTTTTTAAGTTAAAATATTTTGTGAAGGGTCCGTTTTTATGAAAAGATATTTTGTGAAGGGTCCGTTAACGGACCCAAATTTCTTCTAAACAGACCCCTGTTGTTACACTCAGCATCTTCATATTTATGGATTTAAAATTTAAAAAACAGTGTAAAGAAAGAGTTGAAGCAATAAAATGGCTGAAGAAATACAAAAGCAATTAATTTTTTCCCTTTTTTTCTGCAGAATTACATTCTAAAGATACTTCTCTTGTTCATCAGAAAGGAAAGAAATACTCCTGATTTTTCTGTTCTCATTTCGGAATAAAAAATTTTGTCAATGACTGGCTTGCTTCAGCTAAAATTTTAAATTGATAAAATAAAAAAAATAAATAAAAATTCTGAAATCACAGATGTTTAAAAGATAATTCACTCTCTAAATGATCCCTTTTCTTTCATTTTTAAAAAAAACACCATAATTTTTAAAGAACATGATAAAAACCTTTTATATTTTAATAAAACATGACTGTGAGTGGGGATTTTGTTACACATCCAGACATTCGAACAATTGGGGGGAGGGGTAAAATTAATTTTGAAAATTAAATTTTTCGTCGACTTAAATCCATGACTTTTCATGCTTTTTTAAAAAAAAAAAAATAGTTAAAATCATGACATTTCATGACAAATTTTGTCCAATACTGAAATTCATGACTTTCCAGGTGTGAGGATACCCTGTATTTTTCTCTGACAAAAACACAACAATACATTTAAAAAGGCATTACAATAACATTAATTGAAATGATATGTATAACCAAAACTGTTATATTCTGCATCTTCATATTTATGGATTTAAAAAACAGAGTAAAGAAAGAGTTGAAGCAATAAAATAGCTGGAAAAAAAATACAAAAGCAAAAAAGTTTTTTTCTCTGCAGAATTATATTCGAAAGATACTTTTCTTGTTCATCAGAAGGAAAGAAATACTTTTATTCTTCTGTTCTCATTTCAGAATTAAAAAAATTTGCCAATGACTGGCGTGCTTCAGCTAGAATTTTAAATTGATAAAATAAAAATAATAAAAATAATTCTGAAATCACAGAAGTTTATAAGATAATTTGCTCTAGAAATGATGTTTTTTCTTTCATTTTTTGAAAGAAAACCACAATTTTTAAAGAACACGAAAAAAACATTTTATATTTTAATCAAATATGACTGTGAGTGGGGATTTTGTTACAAATTCAGATATTCAGAACATCATGAAACTGGGGGGAGGGGCAAATTCAATTTCAAAAATTAGATTTTTCGGCAACCTAAATCCATGACTTTTCATGATTTTTTTTAAAAAAATAGTTAAAATCATGACATTTCATGGCAAATTTTGTTCAAAACTGAAATTCATGACTTTCAATGATTTTNTTATTTTTCTGTTCTCATTTCAGAATAAAAAAAATTTGCCAATGACTGGCATGCTTCAGCTAAAATTTTAAATTGATTAAATAAAAATAATAAAAATAATTCTGAAATCACAGAAGTTTAAAAGATAATTTGCTCTAGAAATGATGTTTTTTCTTTCATTTTTTTAAAGAAAACCGTAATTTTTAAAGAACACGAAAAAAAACAGTTTATATTTTAATCAAATATGACTGTGAGTGGGGATTTTGTTACAAATTCAGACATTCAGAACATCATGAAACTGGGGGGAGGGGTAAATTCAATTTCAAAAATTAGATTTTTCGGCAACTTAATTCATGATTTTTCATGATTTTTTTTAAAAAAAATAGTTAAAGTCATGACATTTCATGACAAATTTTGTTCAAAACTGAAATTCATGTCTTTCAATGATTTTTCACGACTTTTAAGCTGAGCGGATACCATGTTAATCTCAATATGAATGCGAGAATAGAAACGGAATTTGAATAGGTGATGATTTTTATATGAAAGCAATATTAAAATGCACGACAAAATTATACGCACCAATCACGAGAGTAAGACAACAATTTAACTATTAAATAATAACATTAATAGACATATATTGAAATACCTTATGTAAATTAGTAAACCAAAATTATAAACACTATCTCTAGTGGGAAATTTATAATATTTATGTTATTTTATAATTAGGAATCCCGGTATAATAGTTTAAAAACAACCATTACCTATTAATACATAATTATTCTTCTCCAAATTATGAAACACAGGTAAATATTAAACTACGTCAGAAACAAATATTTTTGATGCAAGAGTTTAAATACTACAATACATTTCTTAAAAAGTAACAATAGTTGTTTAAGATTCAATTTAGTGAAATGATCAGCAACAGCTATTGGAATAGTATTTTCCAATAAAAAGCTATTAAAAATTATTTCTGGGAAATAATCAGAGGAAGCGTGCCAGTGGCGATCATAACAAGGGATTGGTTAAAAAGCAAAAATACTGCAGTTTCACCAAAATTCAGAATTTTTATAAAAATATCAGATTTGCAGATTTGATTTAAAAATTAGGAACAAATCCGTAAAATTCTGAACAGTTGACAACTATGATATGCTGATTAAATGCCATAATTAAAATGAAAAAAAAAAAAGTATTTTTAGTAAATGGTCAAAGAGAGAAGTGACTCACCGAAGGATCGAGAGATATGATGCGGACTGTGTTGTCCAGCAACCCCACAGCTAAAAACCTGGCTCTCTGCTCTCCACTGGGCACACTGGCAAGGGCCATGCATATAACATCTGCGGTCATCACTTTTCTGTCCTTGTATTCATTCAATTGGCCTGACTGAAAAGGTTAGTCAAATAAGAAACCTAGTAATATAGGCTTATAATGAAGAGACTACACTATATGCAAAATGGGCACAGCATATTTTCAAAACAGATTTTAGCAACTCATGGAAGAAATTTTTTTTTTAACCCATGACACACAAAAAATGTGCCATTAAGCTTGAATATAAGCTTTTATTTAAAAAAAAAAAATATTGTTACAAGATTTCATGGAGGAAATTTTGAGCTTAGGGTACACAAATTTATTATTTTTCCTTAAATTTTTGAGCTAAATTTCTAGATGGATAAACTTTCCTGATTTCACTGGACACCTGAATTTTCTAGTTTAAAGATATTGATAATAAAACATTGTGTTATAATTTCAATCAAACAACTTTTTTTAAGCATAAGGATTTGACTCATAGCATTACACTTGAGCAAAGAATTTTTATTTTATACAGGGTGTATGACCAAATTATTCAACAAAAAATAAGCACCTTTTAAGCACTTTTAAAAAATATGAAATATTTACCCCGACCTGCCCCAATTTAGGGTATACGGGTAAATGTTTACTAAAATCAAGAAAAACAGAAAAGTACATAAAATACAAAAAATACAAAAATACGAAAACATTACAGTCTGATGGCAACAGCAGTAAAACAATTAAAATGCTCTGAGAGTCCCGCCTTATACAGGGTGGCCACTCAAATCAGATTTCAAATTTCCCTGATTTTTCCAGATAAAAATCTTAAAATTTCCAGGTTTTTGTTTTTTTCTTCTTATAAAGTGTAGGATGTGCACAAGAAAAGTGTCTATATTATAAAATATTTTATTCAAAATGTTATTTTTTTAACATATCATCTTGAAAAAAATAATTTATTTTGACAATTTTCAAGATTTTTTTAAATTTATTTTTTAATGTTTTGGTACAAAATATCGAATCAAAAATCATATTGACCAACAAAAGAGTAAAATTAAATATAAATATATAGTTGGTTCTTAAAAAAACTTTTTTTTAAAATTAAAATATGTTATAAAAGGTTAAAATGAAATAAAAAAAATTAGCATTAATGCAACAATTGTAACGATTTGTCGACAAACATTGCTGTTAGCGATTGTAAAAAAATGTGTGATTGGTTGGTTTGCTGAGAAAAAATAATTCACAGATTTCTTTGAATGGGAGTAGAAAAGCTTTCAGAAAAAGAGTGCAATATAAAATCTATTATTATTAAATTATAACCAACTAATTTTTGGAGAATTTTATAAAGTTAAAAATACAAAAACATTTTGTCAAAATAGAAAAAAAAAATTACCACCAAAGCATCGGAACAAACTTGAGCCATAAATGGATTCAGCCCAAGGACAGAATTTAAAAACAGAAGCTAATATCCTAATCCCTTTTTCCACCTCCACCAGAATCTTTCCTAAATTGCACAGTCCCATAGCGGTCAAAGGTTTCTACATTCGTTTAGCAACCGTGGGAGAATTTTATGTGGCATTCTAGTTTAACAGAGCTGTAATGGAGCAAATTTTGATGCAAGCAAAGTATCGCTAAGTTGATGATATTTCAACTGTTTGGCGATACATTTCCGTTTAAAAAAAGTGGGTATAATGGATGAAATAATTTAAATTAAGAAAATTAGTAAATAATTTAAATAAGTGAAATTAAAAAAAATTATCAAAGAAAAAATTTCCAGCCTTTCTTTAAAATTCCCTGATTTTTCCAGGTTTTTATCCAAATTTCCCTGATATTTCCAGGTTTTTTCCAGTATAAAAAAAATTCCCTGGTAATTCCAGGTTTTCAAGGTGGGTGGCCACCCTGTTATAGTGTCGAAGCCAACGGGACTTCCCTTATAGTGAGCCAAAGACACAAATGAAAAATTTTACAACACATCGCAGGAAAGTACAGTATGACATACAATGCATCATGTGCTGGCAGTACATAGGATTAAAACAAGTAATAATACAGAGTAAGTTGGGTCGCTAAACCAAAGCTATCAATAACATTGTGACAGGTTAATAAATGACACAAAGTATAAACTGTTGATGTATTCAAGAACAGTAAAACATAAAGAGAACCACTAAAAAAACGTGCACCTGAGGTGAACATAAGAAAACATTAAAAGGTCACATTTAATCGGAGGTCCCAAGTTAATATAGGTCAAAGAACCAATACAGTCCATGACAAATTGACAACAGGTAAGACAGAAAAAAAAGGCGTAAGGAGCCAAGAAAATCTCAAATGTAAAACAAAAGGAGGTAAAGATGTAAAGTGGTAAAACAAACAATTATCAAATAGAATTAAAAGGCGACGCTAAAATTTGCAAAGCAAGGAAAGGCAAACTTTAAAAAAATATCATAACTAGGCAAGGTTGGAAAGTTTTTGACAATTGACAGTTCTATCTTGTTTTAACCTACATGTCGAAAAAAAAACCTTTGACATTGTTTTTTACTATAGTCAAAAATCACGAAATTTTGAATCGTGTAAAACGAATGGAGTTTTCATACGCTACGGACTGACAATACGGCGAAGTAGATTGATTGGGTTTGAATGAATTGTGAAAATGTTGAATAGAACAATGTGAGCTGTTTTTTTTTTTGCATAATTCGTAGCAAAAATCAACATGGTAAAGGAAAAATCTAATTTTGAAAAAAAGAAAAATAAGCATTTTTTAAAAACACCTCATGAAAAAGCACCTTAAGGGGCTTTTGAAAATCGAAAATAAGCACCTTTAAGCACTTTTTAAAAACGCAACGCATCCTGTATATGTAAAATGGGCTCAGCATATTTTCAAAACAAATTTTAGCAACTCATGGAATAAATTTTATTCTTCTTCCTTAATCCATAATCTTAATTCTTTAACACAAAACACTTATACGTGCCATTAAGGTTGAAAATGAGCTTTTTTTTAAAAAAAAAAATTTACAAGACCAATTTTTATGGAGGAAATTTTGAGCACAAATTTATTATTTTTCCCTAATTTTTTAGCAAAATTTCTAGATGGATAAACTTTCCTGATTTCACGGGCCATCCTGAATTTTCTAGTTTAAAGATATTGATTAAAACATTGTTATAATTTCAATAAAAGAACTTTTTTTAAGCATAAGGATTTGACTCATATAGCATTGCACGTGAGGAAAGAATTTTTATTTTAAAATCTGTTGACAGAAAAATGTTTCGAAATTACAAAAAAATGGTTTTTTTTTTTAATTAAACTAATAACATTAAATTCTTTAAATTGGAATGTTCATGTACTTAAATTATAAAAATTGAAAACAATAAATCAAAGAGGTATAACTCACAGGATCCATTTCAAAATAAACTAGTTCACCACCGGTTAGTGATATCACCACTTGCCGCTGGTTCACGGCACATTTTGTGATCGTTTTTTTGCCCGACGTGCGCCACTCGTTCACTCGCTTGTCGTTTCGTATGTGACGAATTCCATCAGGATATATCTGGAATTAAACAGGTCCAATTTTTATTTTTACAATGAAAGAAAAACACAATATACAGGGTTGACACAGAAAAAAATTAACAAATTAGTTGCTTTTAGTAGCCTAAAGCATGAAAATAGTAGCCGAAAACTAGGAAAATAGTTGCCTAAATAAGAACAAAAATTCATCAAAAATAGGACTAAAATTTTGTTAATGACTTAATTGTCAGATACCATGATCCATTTAGTCAAGCTGGTGGCAATTATGATAATTTTTATATAAACGTTAGTGTTCTAGAACTAAATTTTTATATAAAAAAAATTAGTATATTTGCAGAGAATTAAATACTTTTAATTACTAGAATTCATTCAAAAAATACTTTTTCATTAAAAAAAACACCCTTATTCTAAGAAAATTTTCATCTTATCAAAAATTGATTTAGCATATATATATATATATACACTGTAAAAAGTGATTACTCAAATTCAGAGTTCATGCATCGTAATATCGTATTTAAAATTGGGTTTTTTAAAATCGTGTAGCAATAACCGTTGCAATGGCGATTGAGAAACAAAATAGACTTACGATTGAATTTGTGCAAATTGAACGCATTAAAAAGTGATGACTCAAATTTGTAATCTAAAATGTTTCATTTTTTAATGTTTTAATTATTTATTATTTTTTAAGAAAAGAAACTCAGTGTGTTCAGATTTCGCGGGCTGCAGGTTTTCAACCCAATTTATGCTAAAAAAAACACTGCTAGGAGTACAGAGAAGCTTCCTTTTCCAGAAAATAGTTGATTTTTTTAAGCCTTTTCAGGCAAAAAGAGTTGCCATAGTCGCCTCATGCTGAAAATAGTTGCAAATAGTTGTATTTTAGTCACCTGTGGCAGCCCTGCAATGAAAGAAAAACACAATATAGTATAGAAAACTGAGCAATAAATGACATACTTGGACGAGGGCATTGTCACCGATCTGAGCGCAAGCCAGAGTGGGTGTTGTTCCGAGAAATCCAGAGTCCGTCACTTCTTCAACCGTTTCTCCAATCGACAAGACCAAAGTAGCATTGACGAAAGACACAATGATGAAAGCATCAAACTCCTCTGCAATGAAATCATGGTTACAGAAATATAAAATAGTCAAATTATATTAAGTTCTTCATGAATATCGGTTTGAGCTTTAAAAGCTGCCCTGTGTTTTCCCAGTACATATTGTACACATTATATTAAAGAGACATCACAATTGTATGAGTTGTATTGGGTTAACTATATTAGTTATAATTGCTGAAAAATAAACTTGTTTAATCAGAACAGCTATTCATACTTAATGCTATATTTGTGATTAAATGAATTAGTTTTATATCATCCTTAACTATTCCACTTTGAGTAGTTACCATTTTTTAAAAAGACGAAAATAAGAAACAAAATTCTATGTATTTTTGCTGAGAAACATTAAGGAAAAAAGGATGATCATCAATTAAAACAAATAATGCTATAGTAAATGAAATAGTTTAATATAGCTGAAACATCATCAGTAAATGTGAAACTCTTTAGGTGCACCGATTCTTTATTTAAACACGATCGATACTAGATACTTTTTCAAAGAAAAAAAAAAGAATGTTTAGTTTGGAATGATTTAATAATTGCGTAATTAAAAGAGAATATGGCCTATCATTTTTAAAGTAATTTCACAAGCATTTAACAGCACTAAAAGTTATTTTCATCATGCGAACAATTTTGCAGAGAAAAAAAAAAGTTCATAAAAAAATAAAGATCTGATAGAATATATTTAGAATAAAATTTGAAAAAAAAAAAAAAAACCTTTAAAATGTTTAAACACTTTCAGAATATCGTACAATGTGTATTATACAGGCAGACATTGTAACAACCCTTACAGACATGATGGGCGACCGCTAGCAATTTTAAATTTGGATACAGTTTCTAAGTATTCTATTTCAGAAAGAGTGTCTAAGTTCATTGAGAATTATAGTGTAACCTGTAAAAGTGACCACCTGAGTAAGGTGACCTTAAGAAATACACAGGAATTTATCTGCTATAGTGACCACTTGCTGAATGTCTAGGCGAGAAATACATTAAAAATAATAGGCTAGTCCTAATAAGTTAATTTTGATAAATAACATACCTAATGTTTCAACGTGAAAATAATCCATACCAGGGTAATACAGTCGAACCCCGCTATAGTGAACTCCCGGATATAATGAACGAAATGTTCGGTCCCCTGCCTTGCTATACACGTATAATGTTATTTTTTGTGGATATAGTGAANGGAAAAATCTGAAAAAAAAGCGGAAATCCGCGAATCCGCGGAAGAATCTCATCCCTGAAAATGTTCGGTCCCCTGCCTTGCTATACACGTATAATGTTATTTTTTGTGGATATAGTGAACCAAAAAAGTGAAGAAGTAGAATATAATGAACATTTTTCTGTCTTCGACTGATTCTTTTCTTCATTTTTTTTGGTAATAATTTTGAAATTTCTACTTCGAAATAAATACGTATACCGATTTTTAAAACCATCTATAGAGGGGAATGCAGCGATAAGCATTTTTTCCTGTTGGCTTCTTCTATCTCACTTTCCCATCCCTAAACAAACCAAGCAAATGTTTCCCACTCAGGCAGTAATGTACCTGTAAGGAGTCAGGGGGATCAATACGCATTTTCTGTCAGAGGGAATGAGTAATTATTCATGATTGGTCAAAGGGTTGGACACCATGTGTTGATAAGGCCGTCATTTCAACTCCTTTTGCTCTCAGTTCAGTTAAACGTTCTGCATTGATGATAAAAATAGCATAATCAGAAAAATTGAAAATGGGTGCAATCAAGCTGATATTTGAAGGAGAATATAAACTATCCAAATATGCAGTTTGCAATATATGGAAAAATAGGCAATTAATAATTTCTGCTCCTGAAAAAAATTTAGATGGCAGAAAAAGTTGAGAAAAGCAGATCACAAGGATGTTGTAGAAGCATTACTGAAGTGGTTCACCAATCGAAGTATCTGGACAAATGTCAATTAATTTGCTAAGCGATTTTATGAGACTACTTTTATGTGCTCGAATGACAGGTTAGGCAGGTTTAAAAAGCGGAATAACAGAAATTCAGGAATATTTATCTGAGAGTCAGGAAGTGTTTCCATATCTGATGTTGAGGATTGCTCATCAGCTAAAGATTACTAACTTTTTTTTGTACGCAAGACGAAGAGTAACACATTTTTTTAAATAACATAAAATAACACATTTTTTGCTACTACATAATATTTTTCAGTCATTTATTTGAATAATGCGTAATAAAAGGGAGGAGTTTGGAAACCATTAGTTAAATTGCATACTTAACGGATATAGTGAACTCCCGGTTATAGTGAACCGAAATTTCGGTCCCTTGAAGGTTCAATATTTATTATTATCCATTCAAGGGGATACATATTTTAATATCAATGATGGTGGGGGAAAAGGGTGTTTCAATTAAAATCATACACACCATCAGATTTTCTTTTTACAGTCCAGACAGCATTAGGATTTCCAGGAAGTTCTGAGACAGCCATTTCTGACACCTACGAAAGAAAAAGTTAATAGATTTAGTTGATGTTCGCGGTACACCCAGAATACAATCACCCCTGCTATCCTGCATTGCAGAGCATGATCCTGAAGCTGCTTTGAAACTCAGTGCCTTCTATTATTTGCTTGTTTATAGTTCCCCCGGATATTCAGCGCAATTTCTCAGTCAATGGATATTATTTCATGAATTTTCTTCTAATTAATATCTCTCTCTATATTCTAAAAAGATGGGCAAAATTTTAGGAAGTGATAGTACACACCCAAGCAAACAATTTTTACCCAAGAATGCATGGTCGAAAACAAAACGCAAAATCGCTAGAGGGTGTCAAAGTTTATGAAGTTCTGTTCAAAGTTCTTATATGAAGCAAAAACACTCAAAGAACGATGAACTTTAGTTATAAAAGCAAATTTAATGGCACGTGATTACAATAAGTGTTCAAAACAGTGGCCGACAGCGGCTATGCAACAGCGAAGAAAAGATAGGCGAACATTCTGAAACACACCAGGCATATCACGAACTTTCCCTGAAGTGGCCGAAAGCTTGGCGACAAGTAACGCAGTGCAGTAACTCGCAACAGGAATGGAGCTTTCACATTTGCATCAAACAATTTCCAAATGAGCCAGTACCTTTGCATTTTGTTTTCAACCATGCATTTTTTTGATAAAAACTTTTTGCTTGGGTATATACTATCACTTCCTAAAATTTTGCCCATCTTTTCAGAATCACCCTGATATATGTATATACATACACACACATATATATGAGTGTGTAGTAGTAAAATTTCATCATCTATCATCCTCGAAACCACCTACTTCCTCATTGAAAGGTGCCCGACCATCCAGAAGGGAAAAGTGCCAAAACCCAAGGCTCTAGAGCAGGGATGGCGAACCAATGGCACGCGTGCCACTTATGGCACGAGGCACAATATTTTGGGCACGCCACCGATCACAAAGTTCACTATGAAGCATATTAACAATTCAATTAAAATTCACAAAAAAAATAACAATTAATGCCAAAAAGTAATTAATAACCATAAAATACAAGCGAACAATAAATAACTAGCATAAAAAATTAACAGTTCTGCTTAAACTAACATTTTATAACCCTAATATATGCTATTTGTCATCTAATCTGCAACAACAGAAGTCACACTTATGCTACTTTCAGTTGAATTACGCGTATAACTGAGACATTGCAAAAAAAAAAAAAAAAATTTCGTAGTAAATAAAGAGTTTTGAGTTGATAGTATTTAGTATTATTATTTACCCAATAATCACGAAGTCAAAACTATTTGTCGGCGCGTCTATGACCTCATTAAAATACATTTTAGAAAAAATGGCACGTTGGTGCATGAAGGTTCGCCATCCCTGCTCTAGAGCAACCAGTCGGGAAAAATCCTGAATATTAATTACTATTTTACTCCTTTATAAAGAACAATCTAATTTAGCAATCAGTCCTTATCCTGTAGGCAGCTCTCATCGTTCATATCGCTTTTAAACTTCCTTCCCCCTTTTTTTTGTTAAATCTGTTTAGTTTCATTATTAAACTATTGTCTTTTTTCCTCCCTTGCTTCACAAACCATATATATACTTGTATAATAGATGCAATATATTTGAAAAGCAAATTTATACAATGATGGATTTAGAGCAATGCTGACGAAAGGGGCAATAAAGAGCATTCCAACCACCTGATGAATTAAACTTTTGTCTATACAAAATTTTAGAATGTGAAACCCTCTGTAGCACCAGAGATGTCATAAATTCAAAACAATGTTACGAAGAGGAAACAGTGTAAACGTGAAGCAGAGTAGGCGTCTGATCGAGTCATTAAGATAACAGCAGACAGAGGAACAATTGGGAAAGTGGCTGCCACACAATTCTTATGAAGTGCCCTCCTAGAAAGCAACATCTACATGATCATCAACAAATAAACAGAATTGTTACTATTTTTAATCAGGTTTGGCAAGGTTTTAGGACAGAATGGATTAATCCACGGTTTAAACCGTCCTATCCAAAACCCTATTACTCAAATTATGTCACAATTTTATCTGAACAATATTTAAAAGATAAAATAAACATAGAACTAATAACACATTGATAATTAAATCTACTAGAGAATATTCGTTTTTAATTTAAAAGTATAATGTTTTATTAATAATGCTTGACTCTTCAATTTAAACATTAAACAAATGAAGATTAATCAGTAATCAAGTTCAATGGGTCCTCTCATACAATAGTACATAACTGAAGTTTGACCTTGCCATACAGGTTAAGCTATTAGGGACTAAATGCTTGGTTAGTCATAAACAGGTTTATTTATCTATAGTAGTACTATTCAAGAATACTTTTATTTCATTCATGATGATATGCCCTTCAAAACTGTTATTACATTTTTCAGTTATTTTGTNAGGATAAGGTATTCAATTTTGTTGTTCAATGAATTATGGATCTTCAAAAATTATAAACCTTTTCATATTATATTATTTTCCTTTAATAAGTTAAAGTAAATTGTATGAAAAATATCAAATATTTATTGATACATGAAATTATTATGTGTACAATGGTTACACCCATAGAATTTTTACTTTCTACCAAAGTTCAAGGTTTTGGACACTTTAAGACACTAAAACCCACATGTCCTGTCCAAAGCCAGTTTAGGACGTCCAAAACCCTGTTTTTAATAAAAGATATTCACCTCTAATCCATGTCTCAGAACCCTTAATGTAGACCTTGGACCTCTGCCACAGGCAACGTAGAGCTGAGGGGTGTCTTCATTGGCCAAATCAGCTATTTGACAGTGCATGATGGGAGACAAACTTTCCAGTTCATCAACTAAAACAAGATTTTTCAAAGCCCTCGGTCCGAAAAAGAACGTGTCTCCCTCTTCCAGGGGAATGGCGCTGCTAAACTCTGGCTCATCATCATCATCTCCGAGATGGGCAATTTGGTACAGGTAACTTAAAATGGAAAATGTTTAATATGCTTTTAATAATATATACAAAAGCAAGAATTATTAACACAGATTTAACCCTTTGACGGTTAGGGAAATGAGCAGTTTTCATTCACTTAATACGAGCAGTACAATGAGTAAACAGTAGTCGAAAGTGGCAGCTGTTTTTTCCCGGTCGTTCTTCCGAAAATGTCACCCTTCTCTGGCGATGCCTAAGATAACTCGCCTCACGCATTAAAAAAATTTCTTAAAGTATTTGTAGTACATAAATAACAGCTTTTACAAACTTTAAAATGATTATCAAATATTAAATTATAAATAATTATAATCAATTATATAAATGATAATAGTTAATTATAAATATAAGACAAATATTAAATTGAAAGGAAATTGAAAGTAATTAAATAAAAATCTTTTTGTACACGCTATAAAAAATTACAGTAATTACCTAAAAATCTTTAAGAATCATAATCATCATCATAATTATTTAACTTTCGCTTTTGAGTTATTTTACTTTACAAACACTCTAAAAATCGAGCCAAAATAAGCATAAAAAAAAAAATTCCCCCTTCATTATGAAAAAAAATTCATGGAACCCGTACTGCCATCTGTAGACAGTAAAACCAACTCGTTCATAACCATCAAAGGGTTAATAGAACATTAAAATGTTATTTTACAAGCATTCTACATTGATGTTCTTATTTACCAAGCTGAGGTGACTGGTTTCAGTTTTCAGCAGTACATTTACTTTGTACGTTCAGTAGTTCGTTTACCGACTCTTTTAGTAGTTTTAGAATAAAAAGTCTTGTGCTAAATTTGACACATTATATTGAAAGAAGTAGATCAAACTTATTATCTATAAAAAATAAAGTTCCAGTATTCCAAATAAAGAACTAAAGGAGAAAAAACAAATTATGATAAATGTAAAATAAGTCATGGAAAAAAAAAAAGCTGAGAATTGATTTACCAACACTTTTAGTAGTTTTAGAATAAAAAGTCATTTGCTAAATTTGAGACATTTTGTACAAAATATGACACATTATATTGAAAGAAGTAGATCAAACTTATTATCTATAAAAAATAAAGTTCCAGTATTCCAAAAAAAGAACTAAAAGGAGAAAAAACAAATTACCATAAATGTAAAATAAGTCATGGGAAAAAAAAGGGCAATCTAGCTGAGAATTGAATAGATAACAGGTGCTGATAAAGCATAAAACTTTAGAATTTGCATGAAAAAATGGTCTGATTTAGAAATATTTGAGTTGTTTCTGTCATAATTAGAGTAATAAAAGCTCTAGGAAATAGCTCAAAAATAGGACTATTTTGAAGAAATTATAATTCTCTGTAAAAAAAAATAAATAAATAAATTGCAAAGGAACTGTAATAGTTGGAGTATCATTTGAAACTTCGTATTTTATTACTTCTGGACTTTGGAGTTTTGGCAACTTTCGGATCGCAGCTAGCGAAAAATCTGGAAATCCGGATTTTTTTCCGGAGCACAATCACCCCTGCAATATTTATTTAATTATTATTAGAAATAGAACAATCTTCCAAGTAATGTACAAATCAAAGGCTCCTCAATAAAGCTCTTGCAAAATAAATCCGTAATAAGTTTTGTCTTAGAGAATAAGGGAAATCTGAGTCATTACAATTGGTCTATTACATAGGTAGAGAGAAAAAGTCTTTCCCTCCGGTTCAATTAAAGGAAAAAAATCAAAAATGCATAATTTGAAGCCAAAAATAGATTATAAGACAGGATGTGAAAAGTAAAGTGTAAGAAAGAGCATTTAGTTCAGAATATTAAATAAGGAAGATTTAGATGAAACATAAAAAGATTAGTTGCAGCTTTTTATGTTGCGTATAAATAACATAATAATTTTTAAAAAAAATTAAGTATATAAAAGGCCAGAAATTTAAGAACTAATGTAACTTACTGATTTCCAAATTCAGATGCAACAAAAAGAAAACCAGTTTTTAATACACACAAAGAGGACGCAACAGGCACAGTGTCAAAATATTTCAACTTAACCTCACTCACCTGTAAAATAAACACTAAAGTTTAGAAAACTACATGTATACATAGCAGAGTCATTTAATGGTTCTTAGTATAAACTATGACTTCTCTTAAAACATAAAAAAAGTAATTTATAAAAAGCTTCAAATCCATTAAAATTACATTAAGAGTTATCTTCATTCTCATGCATCTCTATATGAGATTTTTTTTTGTTTTTTTTTAAAGTTTAGATTTTCACTCTGTTGAACCACATTTAATGCAACATTATTAATTTTATCAGCTCTACAGGGTGCGTAGCCAAATTATTCAACAAAAAATAAACACCTTTTAAGCACTTTTCAAGCACTCAAATAAATATTTTTAAACACTAAAAAAAAAACACAATTAGGTAGGATTGGAAAGTTTTTGAAAATTGACGGTTTTACCTGGTTTTAAAAAATAAATAAATAAAACTTTCGGCACTGTTTTGGACAATTGTCAAAATTTTTTTAATCATGCAAATCAAATGGCGCTTTAATACGCTACGGACTGACGATAAGCAGAAATAGATTGTGGTTAGGGATGTAACAAATATTCAGTATTCGGCCTAGCTGAATACTGAAGTTATTCGGTTGAATATGAATATTATTAGATATTTGGCTGAATAAATTCATAATAATAAAGAAAGATGTTTTTTTAATGTGCTTTTAAATACATTTAATCATGAATATTGCAGAGTTACATTTCACTGCATTAATTATTAGAAAATCTAACATTTACTCAATTTAAATTGTATAATACATAAGTGTACTTAATAATGTTACATAAATAAAAACGTTTTCTTGTTGCAAATTTATCATCAGATGTATTTAAACAAGCATTGGAATCCTTTACATTAAAATACAAATATATATAGTTTGTTAAATAGAAGCGTGAATACTATCTGAATCGGCAATTAAAATTTATTTGTGATTCCCTTAATAATATCTATTTATCAATAATATGCACTATAAATATATGACAATATAACTATTTATTATAAATGTAAAACATTAATTATCCATTTAATGGATGTCTTGATACTTAGAGAAACAAGCTACATGAGATATATGGTTTACAGGTATAAAAAAATCATTTATCATTGTAATGTCCAAAATTATGATGCAAGAATAATATTTTTTCAGCATTTATAGGAAGAAGTCTGTTTCGTTTGGTTCCATAAAATTTAAAAATTATTTAATTACAAAATTAAAATTTCAAAAGTGAAACTTTTTAAAAAGTTCTTAAATTTCTGGGTTTTAATAATTTTTCTGACAAAAGAGAAAATTAAGAATACATTTAACAGTAGTAATGAGTTCTTATTTTAAATAAAAGAGCATATAAATTACAAGTATAAATATAACTAAAATATGCTATTATTAATTATTTAGATTTATAAAAGCCATATTGCCTTGTTATTGGCATCAAGATATTTAAATTATTACAAAAAATAAATCAAGTTGTTAAAAAATTTTTAAGTATACAAAGATTAAAAAAGCAATTTTGTTAATATTTATTTCATTTTTAATTTAAAATTTGAAAATTACTTTAATTACAAAATGACAATCAAAAGAGAAATTTTTAAAAAGTAAGTATTCGGCCCCATCACTATTCGTTACATCACTAATTGTGGTTGAATTAATTGTGAAAATGCTGAATAGAACAATGTGAACACCATCTTTCTGCATAATTCGTAGCAAAAATCAACAAGGTAAAGGAAAAATTTTATTTTGGAAAAGGAAAAATAAGCACTTTCTTACATGAAAAGGAAAAATAAGCACCCAATGAAAAAAGCACCTTCAAGGGCTTTTAAAAAACGAAAATTGAAAATAAGCACTTTTTAAAAACACTACGCACCCTGGCTCTATCTTTTAAACCTTACAACTTACTTAAATATTCAAATTAATTTTTGATTTATATTGGTAGCAACACTTATCTACCCGAGAAAGAGTCAACTCTTCAGACCGAACTGTCAGGATTACTGGATATGAATTTCTGGAACTGGTCAAGATTTGTGGATATGAATCGTGGTAATGGATTTTAAACTTATGGGAATACAAGTTGCAATACTGGATTTTAAAAGTGTGTGAATATGAAGCACTATGTATGATTTTTAAATCACTTAAATATATATCTCAACCTATACAGGGTGTGTAGCCAAATCTTTGAATAAAAAATAAGCACTTTTTAAAAACTTTTCAAGCACTCAACAAATTCATATTCAATCAATGATATTATTGAAAAACAAAAACTTTTTATAAACAGTTTTAGCGTTAAAAAAAAAACAAAAAGAAACGGGTGTAAATAGAAACAATCAGTACTTTCCCACATCACCGAGTGAATTCAACTTGACCCTGAACTCAGAACAAAAGTACCCTTACGCCCTACGTCAAAAAAAGTGTTAGAAGTAAAATAAAATAAACAAGAACAAAATTAAAATAAATTAAAAAGAAAAACATTTCATAAGGAGCTGATATTCTCTATCTGAATTGGAGCACTCGGGTTTCGGTTTAAGTGCGCGCGCATGCGCAAGTCATAACTTGGGTACGATATGAAGTTCGCGTGAATGATTACGTAGCAAACTCCCCATTTTTCCTGAAATGCATGGGATCCACCAGATATCACTGAAGGGGAAAAAAAATTATTCGGAAAAAAAAAGCATTTTTAAAAACGCCAGCTGAAAAAAGCACCTTTAAAAGCTTTTAAAAACGAAATCCCCAAAAAAGCACCTTTAAGTACTTTTTACAAACGCTACGCACCCTGCTATAACTTTTAAATTAGGTAAATAAGGAAATCAATTATTCACATGATATTTAAAATCATGTGAATAAGAACCCCGATAATAGTGGATCCCGGAGCAGTTCCAGATATTCAAAATGGCGAAAATCACACGTAATAATGTAAATGTCTCATTAACAGGATTTAGCGGAAGTTTCAGAATTTAAATTTCAGACTGTAGAATTTCGTAAAAATTTTGTCAGATTATGTTTTCCACAAGCAAAAATCCGAGAACTAATGGTCTTGAGAAACGTGGAGTATCTCTGAAAAATAGTTTGCCCGGCTCCTAATTTTTAGACCCGGAAGGATGATACGAAACCCCGGAATACATTCACATGTACTAATCAAATTACAGACAATGATAAAACTGCCAAATCTAAATTAGCAATGGTCTTTTTTTTTCCTGACAAAAAAAAAATATATATATTTTTTCATTTTTATTTATATCAGATTTAAAAAATCCTCGCATCCTATAAGATTCATTTAAATTTTTTAAATTCAGCCATATGTTCTGCATGCGCACTCAGTATTTTAAATTTATTATGTGCTTTCTCAATAAGACTTAAACTCATTATAATAGAGCTTGCTTAATAGTGTTATTTACTAAAATGTTAAAACAAGAGTCTGAATGCTGACTATTTAAATCTGAACACCACATAATACTCCTGTGGCAGGAACTTCTTCAAGCTATCTGCGACAAAACTCTCAAGCATTAATATCTTTTTGCAAGAAACTTGTAATAGCAACATATATGTTACTAATTTAAAATACAAAAGTGCTGCGCTAACACTTTTATTTTTCTCTTTAGTGATAATTTTTTACTCCAATATTATGAGTGGTTTNAAGCATTAATATCTTTTTGCAAGAAACTTGTAATAGCAACATATATGTTACTAATTTAAAATACAAAAGTGCTGCGCTAACACTTCAGGGTGCGTAGCCAAATCTTTGAATCAAAAATAAGCACTTTTTAAAAACTTTTCAAGCACTTTACAAAAATGTTCAAGCACTCAAAAAATCCATATTCAATCAATGATACTATTGAAAAACAAAAACTTTTTATAAACAGTTGCAGCGTTGAAAAAAACCAAAAAGATACGAGCGTAAATCGAAACAATCAGTACTTTCCCACATCACCGAGTGAATTCAACTTGACCCTGAACTCAGAACAAAAGTACCCTTACCCCCTACGTCAAAAAAAGTGTTAGAAGTAAAATAAAATAAACAATAAAATTAAAATAAATTAAACAGAAAAACATTTCATAAGGATCAGATATTCTTTACCCGAATTGGAGCACTCGGGTTTCGGTTACTAGTGTGCGCGCATGCGCAAGTCATAACGTGGGTACGACATGAAGCATAGCCTGAAGTCCGCGTGAATGATTGCGTAGCAAACTCTAAATTTTTCGTTAAATGCATGGGATCCACCAGATATCACTGAAGGGGGGAAAAATTATTCGGATAAATAGCACTTTTTAAAAACGCCAGCTGAAAAAAGCACCTTTAAAAGCTTTTAAAAACGAAATCCCCAAAAAAGCACCTTTAAGTACTTTTTACAAACGCTACGCACCCTGCACTTTTATTTTTCTCTTTAACTGAACATGTGATAATTTTTTACTCCAATATTATGAGTGGTTTTCTCTAATTTTGTTGGGGAGGGGCACACAAATTATTTCTTTCGGTGTCCAAAAATATCACCACAATAAAAAAATAATAAAAAATCATGAAATCCGGAGTGGTAATTGCCGGAAAAACGATGGACGGCAAAACCAGGCGAATCGGACTTCTCGAATGTGTGTTTTGTTTTGAGATTAGGTTTTTGTAATAAATAATATCGTATAAAAATATCGGATTTAAAAACTGGAGAAATCAATAGCAATAGCTACCAAAAATTCGATGGAATTCTTGCCTTAAAAAGTAAATACGCAAATGCACGATTCGTTGTTTGAAATATATCGAGATATTTAAAATCCCAAGGAAAATCCATATGCATAACTGCCGAAAATACAATCGAAACATTACATCGATCTACAGTACTATCGGCGCTAATTGAGCATGATCCAAATATTAAGTGTTCATTTCAGTAGAAAAGAATTTTTTTTTCTTCTTTATACTTTTCAAAAGAAAAATCTTTCTGCAAGAACTCTGGAACATTCTGTGATTGTGTGTCGGTGATTCTACCATTGGGCTTAATACTAGATTAATTTCCATTTGATTAATTTGAAAAAAAAAAAAAAACTTTTAAGGGGCACACAAAAAATGAATTGCTCTAAAATGAAAAAACCGATTGCTCTAAGGCTTTTTTAAATAACGATTAAAACTATTTTTGTTTACATCCATGCATAATACTTACAACATCGTCATCAGTTTCTAAAGTAATCTTGAAGATATCACCTTGTTCAGACTGCACGAGGAAAAAAAACATCGACTAAAAATAAAGAAGAGAGAGAATATGTTTACAACATATATTTTAGATATAACCATAAATCATTTATAATATTAAACACTTTTATTTACGTGAATAAATGTCTTATCATTTTGTGTTACAATTAACATACTTGTCAATGATGAAATGCAGTTTTCTCAACGATGAAGATTGATTTGATTTTAATACAAAAATAATTTCTATCAAATGTTAAATTAACTTGCCGCTAAAAAAATATTTCGTAAAACAGGGTTCACACTCTCTAAATAAAGCAAAAATGAAGGACTTATTTTTTCGAAAAAAATGAAGGACTTTTTCGAAAAATTAAGGATCTTAAAAATAGTATGATCTTTTATCATCGAATATACCACCAGTGATAGTGACCTCTCTTAAAAAAATCAATAAATTAAAAAAAAAAAAAAAAAATTNAATTTTATTATAATGGTATAATTAACATATATTTGTATTAACTAACAAGGTTTGCCAAGGTAGGATCGGGTAATTTCTGCAAACCCAGGTTGGGTTTTCTTAAAAAAAGATTTTCAGATAGCTAAATGTCAATTTCTATGAAACTAAACCGTATTCCATTTTTAATAATTTCATTGAAATTCAATCGGAAAATTAAGTGCAGAAATTAAGATTTGCAGTTTTTTTTCCATACATTTAAAAAAAAGAGTAAATCAAGAAATTTGTGAAAAACATTGAAAAAATTATTAAAACTAGTTTCTATATTTCACTATTAGGCACGCATCACGTATTCAATTGTGGGACAATCATGCTAAATATTAAGTTATGCCAAAAAGTATATCTCTCTAAAATGATCGACCCTCAAAGCATGGTCTCATTCTAGGTGATAAGAGAATGACTTTTTTTAAAAATACTTTTAAGGACCATGGGAAAGCTCTAAAATTCATAAAATAATTATGTAATTACTTTTGCAAATAATATAATAAATACAAATGTGTTGCTCAGAAGAAAAAAAAACTTTAAAAAGATCTATTTGACATAAACAGAATCAAAATCGAGCATTAGAAAATATATTTTAGCATGAGTAATGAGTTTTTTTTTCTTCTTTTTTTTTGGAAAAAATATTGGAAATTCAGGCAAGTCAAAATGACATGTATACATTTTCTAAGATTCCTTTGAACATTTAAACTCATTGACATTTTTGCTTTTAAAAATGTAAAACTGTGCACAATTATTTAAAAACTTTTGAATTGGTTTTAATGCATTTCTTTATAATTGATTAAAAAAATAATAAATAATATAAAAATAACAAAAACATGCACCATGGAGATTACTTTTTCTTAAAAAAGATTTTCTAAAACAAAAAAAATATTAGAAATATTTAATTATTTAGAAAAATCTAAACCATATATGACTATATATGATATAAACTGAATGACCATATATGATATAACTATGACCATATATGATATAAACTGAATCGAGCATCAGAAAATATATTTTAGCATGAGTAACAAGATTTTTTGGGAAAAAAAAAGTGGAAATTCAAGGAAAGTCAAACTGAAATGTATACATTTTCTAAGATTCCTTTGAACATTTAAATTCATTGACATTTTTCATTTTAAAAACGTAAAGCTGTGCACAATTATTTAAAAACTTTTGAATTGATTTTAATGCATTTCTTTATAATTGATCAAAAGAAAATAATAAATATAAAACCAATGAAAACATGCTATGCAACATGGAGAAAACTTTTTCCTAAAAAAGATTTTCTATTAAAACTGTAAATTTCTTTTAAAAATGTAAAACTGCGCACAATTATTTAAAAACTTTTGAATTAATTTTAAATACATTTCCTTATGATTGATTTTAAAAAAATAATAAATATAAAACCGATAAAAACATGCTATGCAACATGGAGGATACTTGTTCCTAAAAAAGATTTTCCATTTAAAATGTTAACTTCTTTTGAAAATTTTCCTTTTAAAAATGTAAAACTGTGCACAATTATTTAAAAACTTTTGAATTGATTTTAATGCATTTCTTTATAATTGATTTTAAAAAAAATAATAAATAATATAAAATCAATAAAAACATGCTNATGATATAACTATGACCATATATGATATAAACTGAATCGAGCATCAGAAAATATATTTTAGCATGAGTAACAATTTTTTTTGGAAAAAAAAGTGGAAATTCAAGGAAAGTCAAACTGAAATGTATACATTTTCTAAGATTCCTTTGAACATTTAAATTCATTGACATTTTTCATTTTAAAAACGTAAAGCTGTGCACAATTATTTAAAAACTTTTGAATTGATTTTAAATACATTTCCTTATGATTGATTTTAAAAAAATAATAAATATAAAACCAATAAAAGCATGCTATGCAACATGGAGAATACTATTTCCTAAAAAAGATTCCTTTAAAAATGTGAATTTCTTTTATAAATTTTTCTTTTAAAAATGTAAAACTGCGCACAATTATCTAAAAACTTTTGAATTGATTTTAAATGCATTTCTTTATAATTGATTAAAAAAAATAATAAATAATATGAAATCAATAAAAACATGCAACATGGAGATTACTTTTTCCCCAAAAAGATTTTACTGAAACAAAAAAAATATTAGAAATATTTATTTATTTTGATAAAATCTAAACCATATATGACAAGATTTTATTTTTCCTCATTAAACACAAGAAGTGATATTAAAATACATTGGGCTGTCATGAATTTAATTTTCATTCTGTTTGGTCCAAAATGCAAGATGACAAGTCCAAAATGTAAGATGACAAGTAAATGTAAGATGACATTAATAAGCAAAACAATACTAGATGACCTTAGTAAAGCAAACCTTGAAATGTGAGATTTAGCATTTTATTATAGATCATTTTCCATATCTTTAAATTTGACGATAATTAGTGTGGATTAATTCTTAAAGAGCTTCAAAATATTAACTTAAATATTTATTATTTACAAAAACAAATTGAAAATTATGACAGTATTAGAACTAATAAACAAATTCGATTTGTTTTCGAAATTGCAACCACTTGACAAATACGGCAAAAAGTTAACAGTTCTTGCTTAGTCACAGAAATTCCTTTTTATTGCTTACACACGCACAGTTAATGCGGTTAGCATACCTGCCAACATTGGAGAAATAAAATAACGGAGATTTTACCAACCGACGCAATTTTGGGTTTACGACTACCGGTGTTTAACTTCACAGCCTTGTCATTTTGAACCCAATCCAGAAGACAAGGGAACTCCTGAATCAAGTACTGGGAGAAATTTGCTCTGAGGAAGATGTTTTATGGAACTAACTCGAGTTACATGGTGAGGAAAACCACGAAAACCTCCTGATGACGAGGGAACTCTAACCTGTGATCCATCTACCACTGAGAATAATTCACGTCAGCACTGTGGTCAGTGCAAGCCAGATGCAGAATTCGTATCGACCAGTCATCGCTGGGATTCGAACCTGGGTTCACCTAATTGGAAGGTGAACGCTCTATCCCCGGAACCATCAAGGCTCGACTTAAACAATTAACGCTCAACATACTGCAGTACTGGCAATAGCACCATCTGTTGAGGAATAAGAGAAGTATTTTTGCCCTCAGTTGATATTTTATTACCATTTTTTTTCTTTTTAAATTTCTTCAATAAGTACGGAGACATTTCAGAGCATACAGGTAAACAGGAGATAGTTGTGAAATACAGGAGTCCTTGTTAAAAAACAGGAGACTTGGCAAGTATGGGTAAGACAGATCTTTTATTGTACAATCACTTTTAAGACTACAAAAATGCTTAAAAAATTTTTTTTTCTTTTAAATTGTTAACTTTTTGTATAGATTTTAGGGAGAAAGAAAACTTAAAGGAGCACAAAAAAGAAAAAGGGTTACCTTTGTTTTGTGAGTGGCACTGCAAACAAAGATCATTCCTCTTTCTGGATCATCCAAATCATTCTAGATAAGAAAAAAAGATATAATATTAAAACAGCAATATACAAATATTTGTGTTTAAATGACACAGCATTGATCAATTGGCTTTTTAAAAAAAAGTACTATTCAACAGCTATGATAGAAAGTGCTCAAATTCAGCTCTACCAGGTAGGAGAGCTTAGCCAAAATTATACATTTTAAAAATCGTGATACAGAATGTATAATAAAATACCAGAAAAACTATTGCTTTACTTTTCAGTTTACTTCAGATTGCTCACATCTATTGCAATTGGAAAAAATAATGAAAATTTAAGCATTTTTTTCTCCAGATAAGCGTCAGAATCATTTTATATACCGGGCTCTGTCTAGGCCAAATTTACTACCATTTAGCGGTACTTTCACAAAATACTTTTTCTTAAAATTTTACTTTTGCATCCCGTTAGAAACGATAAATCCATATTTTTGTGTTGATTTTTTAATATAATTTTTAACTTTTACAAATTATGTATAAATTTTCACAAAATAGGTACCCCTCAGAAAAACCTAGACAGACCCCTGATATAAGTAATTTTTTTTTCTTTGCATCTCTGCTTGGGCTATTTTGAAAGAAATAATTTTTTTTTAATAAGGGACATTACAAAATGATGTTTTGTTCAGTTTGAATGGATAGAATTGATAGTTAAAATTTTAATAATTTAATTATGTAAAAATCTAATAAAAAGCATAATAATGATAAAAAATAAGTTAGTTTTTTTTTCTCTATCATTACTAAAGTTATTATTATATTTTCACAAGTTTTTGAATACTTTTTTCAAACTATTCTACCTTTTTTAATATCTGTCATGAATGGAAATGTTTTTAAATATTTTAACATCAAAGAAATAAAACACATATGCTTTGATATTTTACCAACATTTTTCAAACTCAATGGTATAACATTATTATTGTACTTATATGAAAATTTTGTAATTTACATTCCATAACTAACCACGTATTGGCTAAGTAAAAATAAAATGAATGCCACATTCCGTATTAGCTTTTTCTGAGGTCACTCTTAAAATGTCTACCAAGAGACATCTAGAAAATATGCATTCAATAGCTGCCAATTATTGAAGTTCTGTTTTCCAATGTGACTGTTAAAGAAATTTAAACTAAAATGTAAAAAATGGGTTGGAAAGAGAATTTGGTGTTTACCAAACTAAATTTAAAAATATCCAAATGACTGAGTTTAAATAAAATAAAATCAATTTATTCAGCTAATTTTTATCTAATGAAAAAAATGGTATGTATAGTTATTTTATTTGTTTGTTAGGTTTTTAAAATAAATGTCATGCTTAACATATCTCCCAACATTAAGGCAGTATGCTGTTATAGATTTAATATAATTATTTCATTATCTTTTTGCCTTCCTTCCCCTCAAAAGAATAACATCCTCTCAAAAGAATAACATCCAATTAAAAAAATAAATAAATAAAAACAAAACAATTAAATCTAAAGAAAAACCCACCTGGGTTGGGCTTTCTTTAAAAAAAATATTAAAATAAAAAAATGAATGAAGATTTCTCAGTCCTGCCTTTTTTTCATAATACATATTTTTTTGCTGACCTGATTTTGTCTTTTATGACCTCAACAAACAATAAAAAAAAAATAAAAAAACAAACAAACAATAATAAAAACTAATTCAAAATTAAAGCTTTGAATTAAATTTTGATAATGAATTTACATCACATATTTTTTTTTTGTTGCAAAGATTCAGTTATTGTTATTAGTATTATTTTTACTGATTTTATATAGATTTTAATACTTCTTAACTTCACAATAGCACAACTCCCTACTTATTTTAACTTATGATGACATAATAATAATTTATTATACATATAATACACAATATGTTAAAAGGAAACAACAATTACTGTGCTCCTGTGCGAGCTATATTGGGTTAACTATATTTATTAGTTTTAATTGCTGGTTAAACAGCTGAACATATTTAAACAATGCTATAGTAATAAAAAAACAGTCTAGTATAGCTGAAATATCATGGTTAAATATTTCATAGATTAAACTTTAAGTGGTCACCATTTTAAAGAAGACAAAAGTAAGAAACAAAATTCTCTGTATTTTCCCAGTTTGTAACGGAAAAAAAAAAAAATCTAAATTCCCCGAATTTATTTTAACTTATTTTAGAACATGTTAACAGAACTTATTTTAACTTATAATTTATTGTCAGGGTTGCTACTCAAATCTGGATAAAAAATTCTCTACGTTTTCCCTGTACATATTATACACAATATGTTAAGAGGAAAGACAACAATGACTGAGCTCTTGTGTGAGCTAACTATAATTATTAGTTTCAATTGCCGGAAAAACAGCTGAACATACTTAAATAATGCTAGAGTAAAGGAAATAGTTTAGTATAGCAGAAATATCCCATAGATTACGTTTTGAGGGGTCACCATTTTATAAAAGACAAGAATAAGAAACAAAATTCCCTGTATTTTTCTAGTTTGAAACGAAAAATTCAAAATTCCCTGAATTGTCCATGTTATTTTAGGTGATTTTTAAATGCCCTGTATTTTCTAGGTTTTCCCTGTTCTCCCTGTGGAGTGGCAACCCTGTATGAGTACAATTTACAAACTAATGAATTACACTTAAAAAATTATAAAAAAAAAGTCTAATAAATTCACTCTGTGACATTAACTGTGATGTGTGTCCACAGCAGTGACATAAGCTTGAAAATTTGAGGGCATATTTCATGGCATGTTAAAATACTTTCAAATAAAAAAAATATTATTTTTATTTATTTATTTTTAAGAAGATTTCTTAAGTAAGAACAACTCTTTATAACCAACAGAAAGAAGAAGAAAGAAAGTACTAAAAATCAGACCCTTCTTCGCGGAATGGGACATCTGATGTCTGGGTGCAAATCTCCGACACTTTTATATGTTATATAGTTTTCTGAACATATGAGAACTCCACTGGGTCCTTCATTTCCACCGGGGACTAGAAGAAAATACATAAATTTAGAAAATGAACATGTAAAAGAACACAACTCATGTTTACAGTTTAAACAGTTAACGTTATCAATATTGAGAATTTAACTTCAAATACTTTTTCAGGTTGTTCAAAAAAGAAAAATGTAACACAATGTCTTTCTGATGAAAGAACTCAGAAACAAATGAACCACATTCCACTTTGTCTATTTGTACTAACTTATATTCCCATAAAACAACTTTTATCACACCGAAAATATTTTTACACAAACACATGGTAGAATAATTTCCTTCAATCTAGGGGTGCACAACCTTTTTAAGTGAAGGGCCACATGCACAGCAGATTGACCAATGAAGGGCCGCATGACAAAGTATTTAGACAGACATATTGACAGCAATTGTTATACAAACATCATTGTTCCAGGCACTAAATTCTTTTTTCTCAGTTAACCTTGTAATATCTTTGCATAAAATTAAATACTTTTAAATGTTTAAAATTAGAGACTGCAAAACTGATTACTTAGGGTGGGGGGGAAACAGAATCAGAATCAATTTATTAGAAAAAAAATTAGATTAATACAAGTAATTAAACTACGGGAAATTTCGTGTTTTTTTTATCATATTACATAATACAAAAGTTCATTTTAACACTAAAAAACTTGTTCATAAATTAAATTTAAAAAATGAATAAATAAATATTCCAGTTATTAAAACAAATGAAAGTTAAAAACTTTGATTTAAAGAAAGTTTAGGAGGGTTAAAAATTATTAAAATATAATTATTACAAACTATTAAAATTAAAAATGATGAAAAAAAGCAATCGAAAAACCACATTGATTGAGATTGAATGCCTCGAGAACGATTTAATTTCAAAGTTCGCCATTTTTTAAAATTTCGCTCTCAAAATTTTTTTTCTCCTTCTCATTTTGTTTTCATTGCTGCAGAGGGCTCCACATTGAGGGTTGGCAGGCCATAGGTTGTGCACCCCACCTCTACTTTGATCTTAACTGATGAAGTTAAAATTTTTTAGTATAACTCTTAATAATGATCAATACATGAATGCAATATCATGTTACACTATTATTTAACCCCCAATGGGATTCATTCCATAGAAACCATGAATCATTTCTGTTTTTCAAGAAAATAAATTCTAAAATAAGAACAGATATTAAACAATATTCAAATCTTCCCATTGACAATGAATTACATGAAATGCAATTTCATAGATACACTATTATTTTAACCCCTAATGGGATTCATTCCATAGGAACCATGATTCGTTTTAGTTTTCCAAGAAAATCATTTCGAGAATAAGAACGGATATTAAACAATATTCAAATTTTCCTATTGACATTGCATCAGTGATTCAGACCACTATATGTTTTGATGTTACCATTCAATAAACATGAAAGTGAGGAAAAAGACCTATCCTTATCATTGCTGGTCTAAAGCAGAATCCATGATATAAAAAAAAATGCAGACAAAATATCAATTACTTTTATTATTTGGGAATTTGAATTTTAAATTGCGTTGAGATGAAACCGAAGTATCCCGTCACCATTTTTGTACGTTTCTTTCTGAAGGTTTTAAATAAGGTATTCATCTCATTTGGAAACTGTGTTTCCTTCTTCTTGTGACTTCTAAGAATTGGTTTAATTGGGGGTGTAAAAAACATGCTTTACGTTCCTTTTAATTTTACTTTGATTGTTCAACTCTCTAATGGTGAAAGTTCTTCAGCAAGACGGCTGCCTTCTCATAGCCAGTAACTGATACTCTTTATAATTATATGTCATTTTAATTTCACTTTCAATTAATCTTATTGTAAAATCATGGAAGACCATTAAATATTTATTTCAGTTTTATTTTATTAAAGTTAAAAGTCAGATTAAATTTTAGTTTTTACTAATTATAAATTTATAATAGGTAATATATATATATATGGTTAATATAGTAAATAAATGTGTGTGAAAACAAAAATATTAATAAACTTGTTCCTTTTACATTACACTTATATTTTATAAAGCTTGAGTTAAAAATTGTGAAACCTTATGTCTTTAACAGTAAAGAGGATTCAAATATGTATGAGTGGAAATGTGTTATTTAAACTTATTTTAATTTTGTTATATGTATTTTATATTAACGTTTTGGATTTATTTCTATTTTTAAGCTTATACATCACTATTTAATAAATAAAATTATTTACGCAGTAAAACTTAAGTTAATATTTACTAAATGAAAAACCCCAATTTTCCCTGGATTTTTTCAAATAAAATCCAGGCGGGTTGGGTTTTTCCAAAAAAAATAAAATAAACCCTGGTATTTTCAAACCTTGGTCAACGGACTACCAAAGCAGGGGAGTCATCTCCTCTTCAAAGGATCAAAACAGAGTACAGAGAATATCTGGATTTTCAAGGATAGTAAGAGCTCAGTACAATATCTGAGCAATTGGCGAAACATCAGTGACAGAATTGGCCTGAATATCATTAACAATTTGAAGACTTACTCTTCTCACAATGACATACACCTACAGTGGATCCCCTCCCACGTAAACCTTTACTTTAATGAACTGGCCAAGGAGGGCACCAATGATCCTATAGATAGTAGTGGCCTTCTAACATACAATGAAATCTATGCAAAAGTAAAGGCCGACAATAACAGGACTTTGAGGATTCCACCTAGCCATGATTGGTATCAACAAAATAGTCTGGGAGCTAAAAGGTGACAGGAAACCGCAGACAGCTATCACAAGACTAATCAGTGGTCATACCCGTGGACTAACATTTGTTCAGGGTCAAAAGACTTTCCCTGTATGCCTAAAATGTAATGTGCACCTGACTACACCTGATCATTTGCTGTCCTGTATGGGGCTAGAGAAGAATTTTATCTTGGAGAGTTTGGCATGGTATATGATTTTCTGTCAGTGAACGGTCTTCTAAACTTGGTCTAGCCTTGCTCTGGGCCAAGTGGAATAAGTAACAACAACAAGCAACAGGATCAAAATTGCGAAGTCATGTGTTCGGATCATCCTGAGGGATGTTTCCCAGACCGTTGCCCTTTGTGCAGCTCTAACACGAAGTAAATAAAGTACCTACCTACCAAGTTACACTGCTGAATGAGGACCAGTGTTAGGGCAGTAAAAGTAGCAGACAGAGCACAGCATCCAACAACGGGCCCTTATATATTTCAAATAACAAGAAAAAAAATTTAAGACTAACCTGATATTAAAAAGTTGCCATGTTCTTCCAATGGTTCAGTATGCTTGCTGATAACATTGTTCAGCCCTAAATCTAACTCGTAGAACGTCAGAGTTTGCTGAGTTGTAGCGGAAGCTTCTCCACTAGGATCATTATCCGCTTCCTGATCAAAACAAGAAATGATTTTTTAATTTATTTTTATTAAGTGCAAAAAAAAACTTTGATTAGAATTAGTAAAATTGAATACAAATTCTACAATCAAAGCATTAAAAAACTACTAAATTTGACAGGAAAAAAATGGTATGTAAGGGGAAAACTGAGCTTAGAAAATTATGAGTTCAATTTGTAATTCTCCTGAATGAGAAAAGAAAAAAAGATATTCACTTAATCATATTTCATGAAATTTAAATACTTACTTATTAAAGTATGAATGAATAAAAATTATTAAAGTTATAAATCATAATACAGGGTAATTCAAAATGAATATAGTGTTTACAAACAGCTATAACTATTTAAAAGTAATTTATCCATAAGATTAACATAGAATGCAGGGTTCATGATTTTCTGATATAAATTGAATTTTTCTGATTTTTCTTCAAATATACTGTAAGAACTTTGATTTTTGACTAAAAAAACTTATAAACGTTTAATCAAAATTAAATCAATATTAAAACTATATTATAAGAATATTTTAGAAGTTCTAACTACCTAAAACAATTTTTCATTATAATACATAGCTTTGAATGCATAGCAATGATTTTGAAACAAATGCATGATTGAAATTTAAAGACTAGATGAAATAGAGAATTAAAAGAATACTTTAACTATTAAAACAGAGTTTCAATTACCAAACCATAATTTTTATTTTAAATGGTGATTTCTTTTTTTTTCCTCTTGATTTTCAAAATGATAAAATAAATGTAATAGATTGTGTTTATAAATGCAGTCCTTCATCAAAAAATAATAAAATATTTAATCTATAGATTTTTATATTAAAATATTCATTTTTAATCCTACATCAAAATAGATAAGTTAAGCTAAAAAAAATTTTTTAATCTATGTACTCATTGAAATTTTTTTTCCACAAAATTTCTTTATAGAAAATCTGATAATGTCATAGATACTGTAAACATATTATGAGAAAAAAAATACTTAAATGTTTACTTTAATCTGTACTTTTAATCTCAAGAATCAAAAGATTTTTAAAAATGTAATTTCAAATGTGTAGGAATTCAGCACATACCAAGAAAGAATTCCGTTTGCTAAAATTATGAAGGCAGCAATAGTAGATTTTAAAACTATTTAAAATAAATTTTTATAAGAAAAGAAATAATAAAAGTATCAATAATTTAAAACACTGTTTTTTAACTTTTTAAATCAATATATATATATTGATAGTTATATATATAAATTAGCTGATTTAAATTGTGATTCAAATCAAGCTGGGTTAAATCAACAAACCCTGATAGAATGTAGATGGAACTTCACAATTTCTTTGCGTAAGGCGAAGTGCAGTGGAATTGTGAGCAAGTTCATTAGTGAAAATGAAGAGTGCCCTGCATTCTGCATCTTAGAATTTAACAATTGTCAATTCTGTTATCACAGAGCAGAGAAGATTTCGTCAGCGGTTCAATCAAAACAACAAAAGAACTCAAAGAGCACACTTGTAATGCACAGCGCAAAATGAACTACCTCCTAGATGTTACGTCTGTGTGACCAAGGGAAATCAAAGAGAAAATTTGTGACGCAAGTATACAAAATGTTGAAGTTCCTTCAACATTCTTCAAATGAAAGAATAGATTAATCCACGGTTTAAACCATCCTGTCCAAAACCCTTTGTTCAAAACCTTTTTACTCAAATCATGTCACAGTCTTAAAAAAATATTGTGCAAAATAAAATTTTTATTTTTGAACAACGAACACAATGAAAGCAAGTTTTCGTTTTATAAAGAAAACTATTATTTTTAATATTATTTATTTATCCTCCTTATGCAAAACATAATTTATCAGTATTAAGAGAATATTAATTCATATTTAAGGGATCAGATATTCACTTTTGCTGTCCAATGAATTGTGGAGCTTCAAAAGCTATAAATCTTTTCCTATTATATTATAATATTTTCCTTTAATAAGTTAAAGTAAACTGTATAAAAAATATCAAATTTTTATGGTTATATGTAATTATTATGTGTATATAATGGTTACACATATAAAATTTTTACCTTCTTCCAATATTCAAAGTTTTGGACACTTTAAGACAGTTTTACTCAATTTAGGACATCCAAAACTCCAACTCTGGTCAGAAGTAATAAAAATTAAAATATAGCAGCATTGAAATAAGCTGAAAATTATTTTTTTATACATAGAATTCAAATTTTATACATGTGTTTTCGGTTTAAGTAGGCTAGATACAAAACTAGCTTAATTTTTCTGCTTTAATCCATGGAATTTGTATTCTAAATTCTCTGAAATAAACTGCCTGAATACGAATCAAGATGATACATAATTTGTAAATTGCTTGAATGTGAACTGTTAAGTGAGACTTTAAAATTCCACAAATACAAAATGATATATTCAACTTTAAAATCCTGAAAATACAAACCGTAATATTACATTTTTAAAATATGTGAACATAAATCACAATAGATTTCTAAATTGGGTAAATACGAACTGAGATGTGTGATTTTAAATTGTTCACTATTTTTGATTTCGAAATCAGTCAGGGGTGATATTTAGTCCAACTCAAAAATCCTGAAAATTTCTTGAGTAAAATCATTAATGAAGCATTTCAAAAAATAATTGTCTTGATAAATTTAAATCATTGATACTTTCAAAACATAAAATTCTAAACAAATTATATGCAACGTAATTTAAATAAATTTATGTTTAACTTTACTTTTATTTCCAATCACATTTATTCTTCTACAGAAAAAATTAAATATGATAACAATATGAGATTTATCATGATTAAATCATATCACGATTCAATCATAACACAACTGAGACCACCCCTGTGGCAGAATTTTTAATTTTAGCAAACATATATGTTACCAATTTAAAGTAACAGAAGCACTTTCTGCTTACAAAAAAACCTTCATACCAGAACAGTATATATTCTTTTTAATTATCAATGTAAGAATGTTTTTTAAATATAAAGACAAATGAGTACATTTTACAATATTATTGGGGATATTTTCCTGCTCTAAAAAAATATTTGTATATTTAACCTTTTTTTTAAAAAATGTTTGCTATTTGGAAATTAATTTTTATAATTTCTATCTGAAATTCTAGCTAAAGCCAATAATTTCAGAATTTTTTTATTCTCAAAAGAAAGTAGGAAAAAAATCAAAAGCTTTTTTTTCCACTTCTGATACGCGAGAAAGGCATTGTTTGAATATAATTCTGCAGAAAGGGGAAAAAAAGTCCTGTAGTAAAAAATATTTCAAAAAATTCTGCAGATGAAAAAAAAACTAAATTTCCTTACTTCCCAAATAAAATATTCAGCAACAATGTCGCCACGATTCTGCCCAGGGAAAGACCACTTTAAGACAAAATTATTCAATTGAAAGTGAATTTTATACTTTCATTGAAAGTGTCAAGAAAATCCAGAATAAGAAAAATACTTTTCTTTTTAGGGAAGCATTTCTGAAACAAACTATCGAATAAAAAAGGTTTTTTACCTCATAGTTCATTTCTAAGCAAGCAAATAAAGGATTTTCAAATCCAACATCAACACCAACCATGTGATAAACCAACGTATTAGATTTGGGAGCCTCCAAAGGAGAAGATATCGTCAGCCGGGCAGCAGCGTCTCGATTCAATATGTAAACCAGCTTCTTCTTTTCAACTGCACCTATTTTATTACAAAACAATCAATCAGTAAATAGCTACTTAAACATTAAGTTCACAACTAGCAACTCTACCTCAAAGTCAAAATAAAAATTGGACATATATACCACATCATCTGCCACATTTTAGATTTTAAAATCCATGACTAATTCTAAGAATTTTTCATGACTTAACGAAGTTACTATTTTCTCCGACAAAAACACATCAATACATTTAAAAAGGCATTATAATGACATTAATTGAAATGATATGTGTAACCATAACTGTTATAATCTGCATCTTCATATTTATAGATCTTAAATTTAAAAAACAGGGTAAAGAAAGAGTTAAAGCAATCAAACAGCTGAAAAAAATACAAAATCAAATAATAAATATACATATTTTTTTTTTCTGCAGAATTATATTCTGCATAAAAAAGATACTCTTCTTGGAAAGAAAAGAAATACTCCTGATTTTTCTTTTCTTATTTCGGAATTCAATGATTTTATTTATTTCATTATTAAACAATTATTCCTAAACAAAGTATAAAAATATTTATCAATTTTCAGCATTTGCAAATTTTTTCTATGCAAATTTACTATTCCCATTTCTAAGGATATTAGTATTAGTACAGCATAGCAAAATGGAATGTTAAATTGAACACCTAGAAAAGCAGAGATTGAGATTTTTATGCAGAGTTGCTTAAATAATCTACTCTTAGAGTATTTTGATGGCAAAGAAATAGTCAAAACAAATAGTCAAAATTATTTGTTTAGTTGCATTGATGAAATTTGTCAATTTTTTTTCTTGTAAAAAATAATTAAAATTTATAATCAAATATTGTATTCGAAATTTAAAAGTACTTTCGACAATCCTGTTGACCATTTTGGCAGACCTGATATCATCGCCAAAAGGGAGCTTCTGCGTCAATAACAGCAAATTTAATTTTATTTACCATGTAAACCTTGACTACGCGAGATAGTTTTCTTTAGCATGATAAAATGTACCTTTTTTTTTAATTCGGCTGCAACTACTCGAAAACACTTGGTTTTGTATTAAAACGAGTTTATGTGGAGGCGACTGCAGAAGAATAATGACTTGTTTGTTTGCACTACGATTTTGGCTGTTGAAATGATTTATAATAATTTATACAGTTAGATTAAAGAATAATTTAATGCGTAATTATAAAAATATAGAGGTCTTTACTTTGTTTTGATTTTTTTGCTACACTCTTTTATTAAGAATTTTTACACGTATGTTTTTTTTTGGTTATTATCATCTTATTATTATTTGATAAATTGAGTGTTTATTTTGGAAATTGCTTTTCATTATGATGGCGCCAAAGGATTTGAGCATTGACACATGTCTAAAGGATAATCTCAAAGTACCAAATTAAGTGTTAATTAGATCCCTGGTTGCATAAACTATATCCAACAGATAATAAAGTAAAGAAAATGAATGAACCAACCTATCATAACAGCACGTCCCTTGGGATCAATTGCTAAGTATTGACCTGGCACTATGCGTCGACATCCACTCTTTCCGAAAGTCTCTTGATGAACCTGAAAATAATCATGTACACATGTCTTCTAATTCTGCTCTTAGTAAATGAGGCGTGCCTCGGCAACCACCAGGGACTGTGGAACCAGAGCCTGACCCTGGGCCCCACAACAGAGGGGGCAAACAAATCAAATTGAAAGTTTATTTTAGGTTTCCTTTATTAATGAACTTTTAAACAAAATATCAGTACAGTGTAGAATCTGTCACTTTTATTTGAGCCTTTTCATCAATTTATCGTATGAACATAAAATCTGTACTTCGAAAATCCACAACTTTTCAGGGCGGAATTCAACTAAATTTTCGCAATTAAGATGGTCAAATTTGGCCAATCAAAAGCCTGTATTTTTACATGTAACAAAACGTGCTACGTTTACAAAAATACAGGATTTTGACTGGCTTAATTGAGCCATCGTATTTGCGAAAATTATAAAAGGATGGTAAGAGAAAGTGCTAAATAAAAAATTAAGCAAAGAGAAAACCTACATCCAATGAAACTAAAAAGGTAAATAAATAAATTTTAAACAAAAAAATTTTTAAAAAATTATCCGAAACAAAACTTAAAAGAAAAAAAATGGCTATAATAAAAATTATCGTCATAGGACACTGTGACACCAACAAAAAAGGATTTTAAAAATACCCTTCCTCTTTATGTAAATTTTGAGTTGAAGATACAATGAACATGGCTGGAAAGAACGACCCCCCCCNCCCCCCCCCCCCTAAAAACAAAAATCCGAAAAGTATGCCCCGCAAATAATACTATTTTGAAATCTAATCAGCTATCAAAAACTCCAGTCCAGATGCATGTGCTCCGTTAATTTGTTATTTTTGTAATTGCAAAGCAAAACTTTGAGGATATAATTTGACTGGACAAATATCCCCCACTAAAAAATTATCACCCCTCTCTAAATATTAAAAAATTACCTCTTAAATAATCAAAAATACTCTTCAAATATCTAATTTACAATTTTAAAACTACAAAATCATATAAACAGGGTGTGTAGCCAAATTATTCAACAAAAAATAAACACCTTTTAAGCACTTTTCAAGTACTCAAAAAATATTTTTAAGCACTTTAAAAAAACATCATAACTAGGCCGGGTTGGAAAGTTTTTGGTAATTTTTGTCTAATTTTAACAATCACGTCAAAAAAATAATTAAATAAACCTTTTGGCAATTGTCAAAAATCATGAAATTTTGAATCATGTAACACAAATGGAGTTTTCGTAAGCTACGGACTAAATGCATGTAAATCTTATTTTGAAAAAGGGAAAAATTAAGCACTTTTAAAAAATACCCAATGAAGAAAGCACCTTCAAGGGCTTTTAAAAAACAAAAATTGAAAATAAGCACCTTTAACCACCTTTTAAAAACGCTATGTACCCTGTATAAAGTATTTAACAAAAATATCTCTCCCCAAAGAAGGATGTGAAGAGTTGAATGATGAATAACACGATAAATAGTAATAAATGATGAATCGTAATACAATGAATAGTAATAAATGTTTGATTTACCTTTTCAAAAAAATTTTTTTGAGCATTATACTCCAAAATGACAATTTTTCCAGAATCAGATCCTACGACTAAATAATCTGCAATGAAATAAGAAATTTACTTTAATCAGAAATTTAGAAATTTGTATAGAAAATGTTTTATATCAACTTATAGAATAAATAACCCTAGTTCAAACGTCCTGAAAATTTCTATAATAAAACCTTATTATTATTAAGTTTTATACTACCCTTAACCTTATTACTATAAGGATCTTGTAAATCAATGTATCCATCAATTCAAATCATTAATATTGTTGGCCTTACACTATATTGCACTACATCTTTGACATTTAATGTATAAATAGATGTGGGTATTTAAATATGTGTATTTATAATGTACACATACATTGTGCATGCATTATAAAAATTATAACAGTAAAGTTATTAAAGTTTGTTTTAAAATTTATTCTAAGACATATAAAACTCAACCTCTTATTTTTTTGGAAAGCATACGATAATCTTATTTTAAATTCCTAAATATTATTTCCACATGTAAAATTAACCGGTTTTATCTCATCTAAAAATTTCTATAAACTATGTATTATGTTGTAACAAAATAAATTTGTAGTGTCAAACATTTTAAGAAAATACCTGAAAATTATATTTTATTCAAACAATTTTAAAATTATATAGAACAATTATAGCTGAAAACTAAACTTAAATATCATTTGATTTTGTCATTTAGCTTGCTTGAGTTGTTATCAGTTAACTTACATTTTATTTATTGCTTTTTACATACATTAAGACATAAGTGTAATAATTATAAATAAATATAATAAACAATATGAATTACATTTATCATTATTCATAAATATAACTACTTTTAAATTCAAATTAACATACTGGATAATAAAGATATTCGGTATAACATTAAAAAAAATTTTTATACACTTGTATCAAGTTTGTATTTATACAACATAACTTGTAAGTTCCTTATAAATATTAGTTATATGTTCCTTATATGTCAAAAATGCATAG